GAAGTCAATTAGCAGCCAGCGTGTCTCCTTGACAGTGTTGCATACTTTAATGTGAGGTCTATGAAGTTTTACGCATATGTAATATACGGTGGCAACACAAATAGAAACAAGGGATTGAAATGGTTGTACTAGCGAATTGAATGAATTCAAACAGAATGAGTGGTCAGTGTTTTTGAATACATTACAAGAACAAAACCAAACCACACTCAGCACCTTGGTTTTCGGCTTGGCAACAAATTACGGTTTTTCTTCGATGGCGCGGAAAGTATGAACGTCTCTTGCTGACGTGAAAGTACACAATGAGAGCCAGCGGACAGTCTTGTGCTAGTTGTTGGCATATTACTGCCCACATACGCTTGTACCTACCGACTGGCACTGGGGAGGCTATTGGACGCCAGAGGTTCATATTGGGGGACATTCAGCAGCCTGAACATGTAGTACCAACGTTCTGCTTGCCAACTGCGATGAACCTCACGGATCAAGGTGTGAAGCTGATTGACCTTGTCAAGCTGAAGAGATGGCACACTAAGCAAAGAAAAAGCACACCGCGAGTACCCAGTAGCTATTACCGGGGAACTTTCGACTCAATGAAGGATTATATGCAGCAATAACGGCATCTGGCTGGTAAACTGGAATTAGTCATCATAGCTAACACGATGGCAAGGCTATCCACCCACTCAAAGGACTACGGAAGATTATTCCAAGACCAATTGTCAGAAAGGCGATCATTGTATGTTAACTTGTCATTAAAAACGCTTTCATAGTACATCACTTGACTCCACAATGCACAAACAAATGTAGGAATCTGTTTGTTAACGAGGCAGTTGAAGCTTATATGCTGAAGGAAGATTCCGGGCTGCTTATGTTGATGAGCGTCAAGTTACTATTCAAGTGATGGAGACGAAAACAGCGGACTAAAATTGGGTCCCAAGGGTGGTTTGGGAAACAGGTAGCGACTAGTCTGTGGGCTGGCGGTAACTAACGCAGCCGCGTCTCATATGATGGATAAGATGGTGGATCTCTAAATGAAACAACGGTTTCTGGGTAATATAGTGGAGCATACCCGCTTCTGTCAAAGCATGAGGAACTACGAATCTCAATGATTCATCAACAGGTTTGAATTGCTGCCTTGTTTGAAAAAGGATAAAGGTCATGGACTACTAATTAGCATTGTGCTTTACACCAGGCGAAATCTTGAGGTCTGCGAAAGAGATAAAGACACACTCATCTCGAATGAAGTGATTTTGGGTTGCGAAGTGACTGGTTGGCATTGGTTTATTCTCCACCTTGTGCCTCAGAAGTAGCCAGAAATATTGCTGTTTCAAAATCCCACCCCTTCAAAGGAGATGGGATGTGTCAATTTAAGTATTTGTATATTTTCAAAGGTTCCCTGGACCTACTTCTCGGATATAAAATCTGCGATGCTATGAAAGAAACTGCCTGGCTGTCAGCGATAGAAACGCATCTAACTCTAGCCTGACCTCAACAACAAGGACATATAGTACTTAGTGCATAAATAAGCGCTCAACATAGGTGAAGTGACCATACAGTGATCTTCTTGGAATTATATCTCAGCACGGAAATACGGGCGATAGAACAATGTGAGGCCTGTAATGATATTAAGGCCTACCCTCATGAATTTGATGAGCACCTGAAGGGCGTTGGCTGGCCCGATCTTCGAGCCTATTTAAGCACACACTCATTACCACGAGTTTGTACATTGTACAACTACCCAAACCATGAATCGACACACTGGTCCTTCATTCCCGTGACACTTTGCAAATCAGTGAAAAGCTACAATCCAATGAGTGCCAGCTGTTGGTAGCAAAACTGCACCTTGTAGTTTTTAACTACTAAAAATTAGTTGACTGGTTTGGAAAACTTCAAAACTCTGAGTTGTCGCGCTTACAAAGTGGCAGGAGTCGTGGATCACACTTCAGAAAAGTTTTATGCAGACTGCAAAGGGATAGTAAGGTTGCACAATGAAGTCAAGGAATAATCTTTTCCTCAGGACACAGAATCTTAGGAGTCTGGAGTTTCACGAAGCTGGAAGTTTCAACTTTCCAAGGGAGTAAAGGAGAGACATTCTCTCCAAGCATGGCCCGATGGATCAGTGGCTAAAGTTTGTTTGCCTTCAAGCAACTAAGGTTGGGGAGATCTTGCAACATTAACACGGATGAAATCGCCTGGCTTCATTTTATGGGACCGGGGGTAGTGAAGGAGTGTATCTAAGTCTTGTGCTGTCCTCCAGTAACAACTATTCAAAGATCATTCGTCGGAAATAGCAGGCTTTTTGAGCAGAACAGAAATTAAGTATGTTAATATAAGCCGGCGAAGAAAAACCAGCTGCCTCAAGCCACAGAAATACCCTTTTTAAAGCTTATGAATGGAGTAAAAAGGGCATCATTTCACACGCAACTACCATACAACCATGTAATGCGTTGACGACATGGTCTCAGGCTGAATGTCCCATACGGTGACAACTTGTTGACATCGTGAAAAGGATGAACTAAACGCTGGGAGAAGAGTGCTCTGCACAAAGCTGCTGAACGTTTCTAAAGTCCTCGACAAGGAAAAACACCCGATTTCCTCAAAGGCCATGAGCAGTTAGCAAAAACTATTATTAAAGGGGTTAATTGTGTGTCACAAAAACACGCTGCTGAGAAGCAAGACTTGGTATTTATTATCTCCTTGAACAAAGATGGCTGTCGGGGTTTGCTCAGGGACCCACAGTTGCCCATCTGTTTCTGTTAACCTTCCAGGCTATGTTATATCTAATTCACGGCGGTACGCTGGTGATCTGAACTTCCGGAAGACAACCACGTGTACCCTGGTTTCCCCTGAGTGACCTCAAAAAGTAATACAAATGGATCAAAGAGGGCGTACATGCCCTTACAGCTTGTACAAATGGCCGTCGCTCAGCCGAAAACTTCCCGCACCGGTGCAGAGGGGGGCTTGAGAGCATGCCCCACTGGTATTCTTTGTATTTCTGTATAGCGTCAATCGTTCCCAAACAAGGGTTACAGATTTGGGTTCCGTTGCGTTTCGTGACCTTGGCGGTCTAACCGTAAAGCTTATTCTATCATTCTAGATAACATCTCTATCATAAACTTCGGAGAGCAGTAAGAATAGGGTTATGATGAGGGAATCTAGGAAGGTAGATACAACTGAAGTTTAAGACAATTCTTAGCCGGTATACTAGTAATCATCTTGATTTAACCACGACCGCTGTCACCATCTTCCAGAAGAAGACAAAAATAATGAAGCACAGATCATAATGATTCCACATGTGTTCTGAGGCCTGCATGGTACATAAGCATTACGGGGAAAGGATTGGTGTGATCTCACTAGTACTAATTAAAGGACTGAAAGTTTAAGGGGTCATTATTTACGGGTAGAACACAAAATTGACGTCTTTTTTCCTGTAGGAATCTAGAAGCCGTGGGATCCCATCCCTAAAGAGCCACCCGTGACCCATCGCAGGGAGTCTTCTAGTGGAGGGTGGATCCTCATCTTCTGATCAAAGGAACTGGTGCAAATATCCTAGGTGCATGCTCCCCATGCATAGCTGTTACTTGTGAGCCTGAACGACAGTCTTTATTTTTCGGGAGTTGATGGGGGAAAGTGGGTCAAAATCTTCACACTGAAGACCAACCTCTCACACCATGAGCTGAAAACCGAAAAAACTTCAAGCTCCCTAATTCCATTACATGAAAATCCGCAGACCTCCATAAAATTCCGTGCCAAAAATCTGAAATATACTCTAGCTGACGAATGATATAGGAGCAGTAACTCAAAGAAAGTTGTCGTGGTATCGGAGGTTTAGCTGTAGTCAATGAAGGGCCTTACATTTACCTGGAAGATGTTCTTGAGGGTGTGTTTTGTACCAGAAACTATCAAAGACCAGTTGCTGATTCAACGGCCATGAGACTCAACAAAGTACCTGACATTCATCTCCAACATATTAGACTCCACTTGTCTCTACAGGTGTTCTCACGATTCCTACCTCTCATGTGAGATATAAAGGATATCAGTCAGGTCAGATAAAGGGTTTCGGGACTGAACATGCTTCTTTTGCCTCAGTAATTTTCAAATCTTACAGAAGCAGTGAACTGGCAGTTCCCTGGGTCTGCTGTCATATAACCGTGAGATCTTAGGCAGGAAGTTTCTTTCTTGTCAGGTGATTGCCAAAATTTCTAGGTGGGTAGGAGGTACCATCAGTAATGGCCGTTTCCACTGCTGGTATTCACTAACTATTACCTGAGAACAGCGAAAATCTAAAAAGCTTCGATCAGTTCCCCTGGCGACAAGATTGGTACCCAACTCCATTCTGAGGGTGTCGGGCAACACAACTACCATCATCCAACCAAAAGCAGAGTTACTGCCATGGAGAGCTGGACCTTGACATTTGCTTTATCTCTTTTATCCCCAACCTGCAAAAGACACCATACTGGAGCAGACTGAAGGCATATGTGACCTGTTGTGAAAAAGTGAAAGCGACACTAAAATACAGCAACACACTGCTCTGAACCCCTAATCAGGTCACTAACATAAAGTATTTTCCACTATTCTCTTACTTTGGCGCTCATATATAAATGGTTAACTATCTTTTACCTCCCTTACTTTTGATTTCTTCGATTTCCCTTCTATGTTATCCCTAGCTAACTTTCGTCCTCCTTGTCTTCTCAGTACAATCAGTCCAGCCTAGCGAGATTAAATTTGCCTGGCCACTTTGCACTGCAGTCCTAAGGCAAATTATGCACCTCCCAACAAATTTAACCAATACTGAACTACCCGTTGAATTTATCACGCTTGCAGCTCTTGAGTGGGTGAACCCATTGCATTGGAGTCCATCAGTGACCTAGAACCGTTCCGCGAGACTCAGAAGTGAGCTTGAAGAAATCAGTTACTTAATAGGATGTCGCAGATATATTGGATATCGAAGATCTTTGTTTAATGCAACCCAGTACGTTCTTTCAGTATGAAAATCAAGGTTATTCATGCTAAATTCATCTAAGGACTGTCAGGCACAAGCTTCTCTTGAGTCTCGTCTTAATAAGCTTGATGAAGTGGAGCGAAAAATTACTTTGATCATGCAGCATGCAGGCAATGCACTTGAAGAGCTCTCAAAAGACAAACCTGTGGTGAAACAAGTTGAAAGTTATACCCACAACTTTCGGACAGTTATAAAAGAGGTAGAAATGGAGATGAACTCAAACATCAACTATTTGTCCCAAATATCCGCAGGTTTGCCCTATGAAGGCACTACGTATGACAAAGCTATTGACTTGTATCAGTCAGTTGATCGCTTGGTAGCTGCGAAGCGTAACATGGACTCCTGTCTGTGAAATATTCTGAATATATATTTACCTTGCAGTTTCTCTTCTCACTATACGGGCCATTTAATTTCAACCGCACTTGCGTTTTGTTTTTAGGTATATGGAATCAGACCCGTCAGTAACCAGCACTGTGTGTGAAGGTGATGCTTTACACTCAGAGAGCAAAACAGGCAAATCTATAGATGAAATCGATGCAGTAAAAAAGTTCAGCACATTCTCAGATACTCTCCAAGCTCAAAAACCCTGCAATATCCTTGGTGATATCGAAAACAGCTCCAATGTAGATGAGTCGTCAAGAAGAGGTAGTAAATGTGATGATAACATGCTGTTCATTCTCCTTTTTCCGAGTTCGAAATCCCTGAAATGGAATTTGATGAATTTGAGTTGGAATTGGCTGCTCAAAAGGGTACGTTTAAAATGAATACCATATGTCTATTCATCTCACGGTTGGGATGCATTAAATGATGAACCAGTTTTGAAGTTCCTAAGTACATCAGATATTTGCCGTTCTGTAACGGGTTTTTCAGCAGAGTTGTGCATTATTCTGACTCCATTTGGCAAGATGAAGTGTGATTTATCCCGTAGTTTCAGGTGTTTATACCATGAAGACTTCATAATTTCTATTTACAAGTCGATTGACTAAACTAATGAGCCACATATCCACTTTTACATTTGTGTTGTCATGGCTGTCCAGTCAAAGCTTGGGACAAATTCAACAGAAAAATTGTATTTTTGTTATAGTTTTCACTGAAGAAATATTTTAAGTTTCTAATCAACTACAGGCTCATTTTGGAAACTGTAAACTATGTTCTTTGGGTTATCTAATCTAGCTCCTTAGAGTTTGGCTTGTACATTAAATGTAATTGCGAGTTAAGGTTACTTTTTCATTCGATATGCATCAAAAACCAAGCTTTTGAACGTAATGCAGTGTTTGTGTAGCCGTATTTGCGGCGCTTTGTCGAGCATTGCTTCATAATGGTAATTGTAGCCTCCTCTTGGTTTGCGAAAGTATTGCTGTGTGACATTAACTATAAAACACTGTAATACCTAGTAGGAACAACTTCTTAACGTGCTAAATTGCATATATCATATAACATTCTTCCACTGTATTCATTACATCAGTCAGGCTTCTGCATTTGCTGTCGTAACAGCCCTGTTTTCCTCACATTTCCCATTTTATGTGAAGCTCATTCTCTAAAGTTGCTGTTGACATGTTGAGATCAAGAACTAGTGCTATCTTAAATCCAGCTTATCTTCGAAAAAACTAACAGCGCGTCACAATATTTAGTAACCAAGTAAACTTATTCGATCAATGTCTCAAGCTTCATGTATCTCCTCGCCCATAAGTCCGATGGCGTAAGTCGAAAAAAAAATTCTAAACTGATGCAGTTAACCCTTCTAGCCAAGACCATATGCCTAAACTCAACATTGATGTTGCAATGACCAACGACAAACGTCCAATATCTAATGAACACAGCGTGTTGGAATTTCATCGACCACAGATTACACACCAACGTTAATCTGACTTGATGAGTAAGTGAGGCAGTCATCGCATTCAATCGTATTACCGTCTGTTATCAGACGACTTACCAACACTGGCCATACCTGAAGTAACAATTTCTATTCGGGAAATGTGAAGTACATGCCAAGCATTCCCAATTTCCCCAAAAGCTTCTGCATTTGTCAGCATCTCTAGATAAACAGCTATGTTGTACGGATACTGTAACTTCCTCATGAGCTTAGTGTTGATAAAGTCACGAAGACTTGTGGTGACACGTTTACGAAAAATATCAAAATCTAAAGGACACCGAACCATAATCCCTTTTACTATGGTCTGCAAATGTTTTCGATGATATCTATGCACTCTAAATCCACTAAGAATTTTCCTGTGACAGTCAATGCATCTTGCGTCGGATTGGGAGAGGGATACATCTATAAGCTCATATATGAGCAATTTAAGTATAGATTGGAAGAGAGAAGATCCCTGACGGACATTAGTCGATGCCGATAGCTGACTTGATGCTTTACTGTAGACTGTAACACGAGGATGGGTGTTTGATTAAAGCTCCATCAAGAGAGTGATTTGCTCAGCTGGCACCACTCAGTGAGAAACTATGTCATAAGACCTCTGGATCCGTGGAGTCTAATGCCACCTTCATATCAAGAAATACGACTAGTGTCAAATACGTGTGGGTGTACCATTGTTTCATGATTTGGGTAGAGTAACCAACTGGGTTCAATAGCTGTCTAGTTTTCTCGGGTTCGCTGTTCCCGAGCTTCCCTTAGGCATTCAGTGTTTATAGGTCGTAGGAATTTGAGAAACTGTGTTGATGAGTCTGATTTTTCCGTGGTAATAACAGGAGAATTCCTCTACTTTTTGAAGACTGGGATAGTCAGAGATTGAGGCCATTTGGAGGATGTGATGTCTAATTTCCATATGTTATACAATGCTTCAGTAAATCTTACCAAGAATCTTTGGTCACCATCTTAAATACTCCCGGTACTAGGTCATTGAGGTGTGCTGCTCTTCCTCGTCCCTGGATACTTTCAGCGCTTATTAATTCAAAGAAAGTTGATGAGATATGCTGGCCCCTGGCAACCTTCTCCTGGTTGATTCTAACTGTTGTCTGGTGTGAAATTTCCTTTGTTGCTTATTGTTGACTTGCATTTCATCCTTGTGTATAAACGGCTTGTATGTGTAACTGTAGGGCATGAGGTGGGACTTATGGGAAAGACTATTCTTTGCTCGTTAGGGTGTCTAATGGTGAGAACCGATAACGGTCTGTCGCATTGATTTCTTGCTTGTGTGTAAGGTTGTTCTATGCCGATAAATGCGTAGCTAGTTTCGCTTTCAAAGTAGCTTATCATTCTTACGGTCAGGTTGAGATGAAAGTGGTTTTCGAGTTGTAGTTTTCTTATGTGAATTTAGGTGCAGACCAATACGTTCTGGAATTGAATTGTGATCATTATCCATTTACATCCTCTTTGAGAGGTAATTTTGTACGCATCTTCTCCAATGATGACTGGTGATGGTTTGGTATGTTTGTGTCTGCCATTGAGTTGGGGTTGGCGGACACTGCATGAGACAGTCTCTCTTCATGTCTTTATTTCATGATTTTCAGAAATAGAACTAGGTGGTTGTCTGAGCAGAGTTGTAGCTGGTGACCTCGACTATCGGTTTGTTCAGTTAGAGTTGCGGAAGTAATGCCAAGGTGGTTTCCTGTCTATTCCAACCTTCCTACTTGCACATTGAAGTCGCCTGCTGTAACGACCACATGTGGAGGTTTCGGTTATAGTAGGAGGTTAGATAGTTTCTAGTAGGAATCATCTTCCACTTTATGCGAAGTTCATTTGTTGGGCACATGACCATATGTGTGTAAGGAAAGCGGAGATGTGTTTGATGAACGTGTCATTTAGTATAACTGTACACGTAACTGGCGACTCGGGTGTAGTCGGGTAGAATGCATTCCACTATGAGACTTAGTGCCTTACCTATACCTACAAGTCTGCTGGAACTAGCTACTGATTCTGCGAACACTTGTAAGATGACTTTCACAGATTTACCTTGTTGAAGAAATGAAGTCAAGTGAAGAATCATGCTATGTCATGTGTGCATGTTTCACAAACACAGTATACGTCCATGAGCTGAGGTGCCGAATGTTTGGCCAGCAAAGGTTATTGTGTCATCAAACAAAGAGTGCAGATATTCAAGGAGTAGTGCGTACGTAATATGCTGTGTACTTTCAGGGGAAAATGAATAAATACCCATGAAGATGGGTTGCTGTCTTGTGTTGCAAAGGTGTAAGTTAGAGATGATTTGAAATTAATGGTGGATTTGTCAGGTGTGATTGACTTTGTTTCGTGACATCTGAGCCGGAGGCACGTATGTGTATTTGGTCGATCACATGCAACTTTTCGGGGATCGTAGATTGTGTGACATCCCCATTGGAGTAAATCTTTATAGTGCCGGGAGATTATAAGACAGCGAAGATTTTGCTATATGTGCGGTTTATCTTTCTAAATGCATGCTGTAAGGAAATGCCCTTCGCTTGGGAAAAACACTATTTCATGAAGTCAGGCTAACGTTGGTGTGTAGTCTGTGGTCGACGAAAACCCAACACGCAGATAAAGGGCTCATTTGGCTCTCAACAATGCACCCCAGTTATGTAGCCTGCAATATATCCGATTACCTATCAAGAGTTCAGTGCCTTGCACAGTGTTGTGTACTATTAGATGGCTTCGAAATTTTGTCATTATAGGTCGAGGGTATGCGGCGGCTCCAGACTTCCGATTACCGTCACTCTGTATAGTATTAGTTACGTATTATGAGTTATCACATGAGTTATGTGATGGTTAGACGTAGGCTCTTGGCTAGAAGAGTTAGGTCAAGTAGTGAGGTTCAGACTAATCATCGCTTAAGATGTTGCAACATGTGTCACCTTTATCTAATCGCTGTCAACCGTAGCTGGTTATGTTTTGTAGGTTAGATTCGGATTGGGGAGAGGCTAGGAGGTCAGACTAATACGTGGCTATTAGTCTGAGTCTTATAGGGAAATATATACGTTTGAGTTGTTATTTGTTACTTTACAAAACCAATGTTTAGAGACTTTTGATTGTCTGGTTCATAATGGTATAGATATACTCACTCTATTTCCTTGTATAATTTTGCATGACTGCTAAACTTTATGTTTATTTGCGGATGGGTGGCTGCCGCCTTTACGTGGTGGTTTGGTTTGCATGTCACAATGACCTAACGAGTTATGCTAGTAGGACGCTTGTTCTCTGGTGGTCCTGTCATACCAGAAGGGTCACTTGGATTGTGGTGCGACAAAAGACAGTTGCCATAATGTAGATAGCTGTGTTATGATGGGGCTGTGAGGATGCAGTAGTACTGCTAACTTTACGGATATATGACTGCAGTGTTGTGTTTTATCAGGATGACTAGCTGTGTCATACTGATGCTGCCTTACTTATAGTAAGGGGTTTTAGAGAATGTCTGTCTTAAAAGTAGCATACTCCCATCTACCTTGTGGCATGTCTGTTCTGACGATGTGGGTTCATAGTTAAATTCGAGTAAAAGAAACTAAAATCTCAAACTCCTGGAAACACCGTATTTGACTAGTCTCAAGCAGGATGTCCCTTGGTCTCCGTGGTTTTCCACTAACCCTTCTTTTTCAGACATCTAAAGAAGAACAAGCCTTATGTGTCGTGCGCCGTCTTGAAGTGTTGACAGCCCTCTCATCTTTGTCTTCACATTTGCTCTCTCTCTCTCTGTGCACCAACATTCTTTCAATAACCTTTAATTTTTTTCATCCCTTCCACTCCTGATGATGATATGAGCTGACGGAACAACTTTCCTACTCTCTTGATACCGCACCATTAACTACCTATTGAACCTTTCAATATTCTCATCCTCCGTCAAATCATCCAACAAGCCTCGCTAGCCAAAACTCTGACACCTCGATCCATGAGGGTGTGCTGTGTTTCTGAGACATGCGTGCAGGATCTAAATGTTCTTATCCATTTAACGTCGCTTGTACAACAGGATGAGTCTTCAATTTACACTCTTCGAGTTACAAAAGATTCGATGGCTAGCTGTTGCGGTGTTGCATGTGTATATATACCATTAAGTACTGAGAAAAAAAGTGCACTGCTGGACTGAATCTCAGCTGTCAGTCGCCTATGCGCTGTTTGTCTGAATGGCTCAGTGAGGACAAAAAAGAATAATGAAAGTCGCTGTTTTCTCTTTGTATTCTCTTTTCATGCACGCGCTGACTGCAGTTCGTATGAAACGAAGGATGAGCTCTAGCGAAAACTGTCTAGCCTCCTTCAAAGCCATAGGTATAGGTACGGTTGACGTAGCGGATGGTGTCGATGCTCACGTAGGTAGGTTGTTCGGCATAAAGTTACTGTTGGCAATTTCGAAATCTTAGCCGAGTGAACTTTTACTGTCTTTCGTCTACTATGACTGTTCTCAGACATCCATCTATTTCTGGCCACCTTGATACGCCATATTTGTTGACCTGAAGGTGGTATTTGACTTTAGCAGCCTTAAGGTGTTGTGGCAGTCTCTAACTATTTAAGGGAGTACCGAGAAAGTATGTAACCCTAATCAAAGCTCCCTACTTGAACTTACACAAGCGTGTAAAGGCTTATGAAGGGTTGTCACTAGGACCAAAGACAACTAGTGATGTCCACCGGGATGCCCACTGTCGCCGTTCCTATTTAATTTCGTTATGGATGTACTAATGGACATTAGCTTAGGTACGTCTGATTTCAGAGGGAATGATCAACTTCCTGGGAATCATTTGCTTAATTTGGAGTATGCAGATGATATTTTCCTGCTAGCTGAAGATGCTGAACCTCGGACACAGGTGCATCGGCTCAAGTTGCTGCACTTCATAGTAGTAAAAAAAGAACAGGCGGATAGAAAAAGGGTGATATCAAAGTAGGCAAAGTTGCATGAAAGAATAGACAGTTTGAGGTAACGGTTAGCTTCTACCTTGAAGTAGTAGTCGGGCTTGTATCTCACGATCCAGCGAGCTATGCTGGTGGAACACTTGTTCCCTCAAGGTCCTACCATACCAGAAAGGTCTGTTGGACAGTGATTAGACAAAAAGCTGTTACCCCTAGCATGTTCTTAATCAGAGGGATGACACATTACAGTGGTTTAGATCAGTCATTAGTGGTAATCCAAAACCACGGGACGTATGTCCAACTTCATTTCTCATACTACAGACCAGCACTAACTTTAGACATAGGGAGAGACACTGTCTCACATAGCGTCCGGCGTCATCAAACCAACAATGGATACAGACGGATCACATTACTAAGCGTCATCGTTGGAGAAGATCGGCGGAGGATTGTCGCTCTTTCTGGAGTACCAGTTTGGATTCTGATCACGCGCTAGTACGCACTTGTGTGCATCTGTGCCTTACTAGTCTCAGGAAACAAGCGACAGTAAAGCCTATCTGTGGTCGGTTGGAAGATGAAAATTTCAGGTCTGCTTTTAGGGGAGCGGTAGCCGAGCATTTATCTGAACATGACAGCAATGTTCACCCCAAGGAAATCTGGTGTGACATTAAGTTTGTTGTAGAAACAGCGGTAAAGACAGTTGTTAACCTACGCACAAAGGTTAAATGTCATTTGATTTCTGCGACGTCATCTGAACTGATTGATGCAAGAAGACTGACTCCAGCGGGCTCTGACCACGCTTCAGTTTTTCCAAGTTGATATTCATCAGCGACTGACATCAGTCGGAGGAACATTGGAAACCTGGAAGCACTGGACAGCTGTTCCGTCCTATTATGAGACTCAGCAGTGCTCACCCATGACCCGGCTAGGGATCGAACCCAGGACCTTAAGATTCCATAGCCAGCACGTTACCACTGAGCCACGGTTGGAATCCAATAGTCCATATTTTCAACTTCTGTCAGCTCACGACACAGCACGACCATCACCCAATGTCATCGTTGAGTATTTGTCCTCACGACTACCAGGTTTGCCCCATAGGTTACGACTTCTAATTGGAACTTCAGGAATCATCTCTCAAAGCTAGTCACCAATGAGCACTAAATCAGTTGAATTTGGGGGTTTGTGGGGATTTAGGGATTTTCCAAGTGAGGACAAATACTCCACGATGACATTGGGTGATGGTCGTGCTGTGTCGTGAGCTGACAGAAGTTGAAAATATGGACTATTGGATTCCAACCGTGGCTCAGTGGTAACGTGCTGGCTATGGAATCTTAAGGTCCTGGGTTCGATCCCTAGCCGGGTCATGGGTGAGCACTGCTGAGTCTCATAATAGGACGGAACAGCTGTCCAGTGCTTCCAGGTTTCCAATGTTCCTCCGACTGATGTCAGTCGCTGATGAATACCAACTTGAAAAATCACTAACTCCCCACAAAGCCCCAAGTTCAAACACTTCAGTTGCTCAACTACCAGCCTGAACATGAATGGGACGTAGATGTCGGTCCTTCAACTCTTCTTGAAGTTTAGAAAGCTGTGTCGAACCTGAAATGATGCAAAGTAGTGGGACCTGACAGCCTGCTACCTGAAGTTTTCAAGGATGGAGGTAGGAAATTGTTAATTAAAGTGATGGAGATACTAGGTAGTATATGCGAATCAGAGGTAGTGCTGTCAGACTGATGTTCTTCTCTGATCATCCCAGTTTGTAAAAGGTGGGAGAAATCTCGTGGCAACCATAAGAGGATTAGCTTGACTAATATTTTGTCCAAGATCCTAGGGTCCATACGTATGCGACACGTAACTGGAGCTCGATAACAGCAAACTCCAGAAAACCAGACAGGTTTCAGACCTGAACCAGGGTGTATCAAATATAATTTCACCCTTCAACTGGTTCGAGAACACAAGCTTACCTACCAGCGGCCGACACTCTCCGTATTTGTTGATCTGACGCTGTCGACTTTAAGGTATTGTGGTAGTGTCTAACTGTGAAGAGAGTACCGAACAAGTATATAACACTAATCAAAGCTCCCTCCCTGAACTCACGCAACCATATCAGGGTTTTTGAAGAACTGTCAAGTGAGTTGATAACAACTAGTGGTGTCCGCCAGGGATGTCCACTGTTATCAATTTATTTAACTTCATCATAGATGTACTAGTGGACATAAACGTAAGTACGTCCAACTCTACAGGAATTGACCTCCTCTCTGGAGGTTATCTAGTTGACTTAGAATGTGGAGGCAATATTGTCCTACTAGTTGAAGACGCTGGAAAAATGCAGGATCTTCTGAACGCCTTGAGCAAAAATCTGTACGTTTGGCTTACGTTTCGCACCTGTCAGATATGAGATGATGGTCCAGAAGTGGTTTGCTGCAAACACTCCCAGTTTAATGTGATAGGGAGTGAAGTAATGAGATGTGTTGACCACTTCACTTACTTGGGAATTCTCATCGGGACGAACAGGCTTTTGCTGACAAAATCTCGGCTCGGACACAAAAAACGCTTTCGCATTTGTCGACTTGCGTCACCTGTGTTGCAACGTGATATCCAGCTACCCATCAAAGGATGTTTACGGCGCTGCAGTCCATTCTCTCCTGTTATATGCCTGTGAGACATAGCCGTTAAAAGTAGGTGTGAAGCGATAACGCCTTTAAGTCCTTCGACATAACTTGGTGTAAATTGCAACTCTGAATAAAAGCCTGAGTGTAGTGATACTTGACACTTTTGTGTATGCAAATATATACTCCCATCTGGTTTTTTTCTACAGAATTTTCATCTGATGAACAGTGTTTGATTCGGGTCGTATGACTCCAGATGGACTGATTGATGAAGATTTTGAACGTGAACTTGGGTGTGCTGCTAAAGCAAGTTTCATTACTAATGATCATAACTTTGACATATTGTTTTTGTTTCTATCATGCATCATATCAAATCATTGTCACGTATCAGAATTTCTCCCCACGTAACGATGTTTGGGCATATAGTTTGTATTGTCGACTTTCACCCAGTAGTTGTTCTTCGTCGCCTAATGCATGTAAATGCACATGATTGCTGAGTGAATTCATTCATTCAATTTTTTCTAAACATTTTGCACTTATTTCACATAACGACTTGTTGTTTGTTTGGATTCTTTCGTAAGTCTGTTAAGATATTTTCCGAGTATGAGTGTGATTAGTTGAAATAGGAGTATGGCGTCTGTTTCATTGCTTGTTGTCATTTTTTTTATTACTTCGATATGTGTTAAGGCATTGAAGTACCAGCTTTCTACTTTATTTTAAGAAATAGAGCACGGCCAATCGCCCATGCAACTGAGATATAATTCCAACCTTATTAAGTGAATAACTATCTGTTTAACAGGAGAAATTTTTCTCTCCATGGTTAACCTTTACAATTGGCTTTCATTTATCGAAGGTCTGTTTCAGCTATTCTTGATCAATTCTCTTGCTTAAAGATTAATTGGATGAAATCTTAAGTAGCTGGTACTAACAGTAATTAGTTGTCTAGTTCCGTCTACCCACGTCAATCAACTTTCAGTAGTAGTAGTAGAAATCGAAGTTTTGAGACTCGGAGTCATATAGATCAGGGTTTTCTGTAACAGCACAGTTGCATTTGTGTTTCATCTTCATTTGTCGTATTATTGCATATGTTTGGTCCCTTTATTTTATGTTCTTTGTCTTAGAATTTTTACAACCTCAGATATCATAGTTCCCATTTTACCGTCTCCTTAGTTAAATTCCACATTGGTGTTCTGATGTGTTGTAACTGCTTGTATCACTGCATAGTTATGCAACGTGTTTCAACCTGTTTATCGACTGTCATAACTAATAGTGAATACTCCTTTATACGTATGGTAAACAGTGTTAACCCCTCACTTTTTGTTTCACCTCCCATCAAATTAAATAAAATTATTAGCACAGAGTATATTTAGCGCAGCAAATGTATTCACATCTTCATCAGGTACGTAATAAAAGTGATTTGTCTGTGAAGGAACATCATGTGCATAAATCGATGGCCATAGAATCACTGAATCTTGAACAAAAATCAATAGACCATTGTTTGTGTCCTCGTGTTAGCTTGCTGACTCTTAGTAAATCGTTTTTAAAAGGTTTATTTTCATACTGTTATTGTGACTACTTTGAGATCATTGACGTCGTACAGCTAGGTTAATTACTTTTCTCAGTTAAAGCTTTTCGTGAACTAAAACGTTCAGTAGGAAAAAAGAAAGGAAGTCGCAGTAGTGAATACAGCAATCCACATTGATTTCTCAAGATTTTTCATTGACTTATCCATATTTATTTCTGCTTTTCATTATATCAATACATGTATCTAATTATTTGTTATTTTTCATGATGTTGATGGTGTGAGCCTTTGCATTTCAGTTTTAAGCCAATATATTGTGATAATATTCAGTATAAATATGTGTGCTTCGTTTTGATCCTTATCGTGTGCTTTCAACAGGTATTTAATTAAAAGTGCTACGTTATCCAAAGTGAAATATTAATCATAGTGTTAAAATCACCAAGTAGCATCAGTGTATGAAACCAGTTGCTACTAATAAATGCGTCGTGATTAGAGTATTTTCGGAAGTAATACAAGATGCTTAAACGTTTCATCCTTTATCGAATCAACTATTCTATGTCTTCACCTCCTTCTCTGTATCTGCTTTTCGTCATCCTTCTCTTCAATCGTATTTTTTGTATTCCTCAAAAGGCATCTAGTTTTCGGTCGTTTCATTATTACGTACGTCACCATCAGTCTGGAACTTCTTGATTAGCGTGAAAAGCCATAAGAAAAAAGAAAGACCAACTGATACACATCAGGAATATGCAATTACGATTAAATTCAAGGCATGTCGTCTATGCGTCTACAGTGTTGCGATCCTTATTCAAATATACCACCTATAGAAATAAACATCACAATGCACTCATAAACAAGTTCCTTTTCGTACCTAGCTTCTGTCCAACTCAATTCTAACCTACAAAACATAACAGCTACGGTTGACAGCGATTAGATAAAGGTGACATATGTTGCAACATCTTAAGCGATGATTAGTCTGAACCTCACTACTTGACCTAACTCTTCTAGCCAAGAGCCTACGTCTAACCATCACATAACTCATGTGATAACTCATAATACGTAACTAATACTATACAGAGTGACGGTAATCGGAAGTCTGGAGCCGCCGCATACCCTCGACCTATAATGACAAAATTTCGAAGCCATCTAATAGTACACAACACTGTGCAAGGCACTGAACTCTTGATAGGTAATCGGATATATTGCAGGCTACATAACTGGGGTGCATTGTTGAGAGCCAAATGAGCCCTTTATCTGCGTGTTGGGTTTTCGTCGACCACAGATTACACACCAACGTTAATCCGACTTGATGAGTAAGTGAGGCAGTCATCGCATTCAATCGTATTACCGTCTGTTATCAGACGACTTACCAACACTGGCCATACCTGAAGTAACAATTTCTATTCGGGAAATGTGAAGTACATGCCAAGCATTCCCAATTTCCCCAAAAGCTTCTGCATTTGTCAGCATCTCTAGATAAACAGCTATGTTGTACGGATACTGTAACTTCCTCATGAGCTTAGTGTTGATAAAGTCACGAAGACTTGTGGTGACACGTTTACGAAAAATATCAAAATCTAAAGGACACCGAACCATAATCCCTTTTACTATGGTCTGCAAATGTTTTCGATGATATCTATGCACTCTAAATCCACTAAGAATTTTCCTGTGACAGTCAATGCATCTTGCGTCGGATTGGGAGAGGGATACATCTATAAGCTCATATATGAGCAATTTAAGTATAGATTGGAAGAGAGAAGATCCCTGACGGACATTAGTCGATGCCGATAGCTGACTTGATGCTTTACCGTAGACTGTAACACGAGGATGGGTGTTTGATTAAAGCTCCATCAAGAGAGTGATTTGCTCAGCTGGCACCACTCAGTGAGAAACTATGTCATAAGACCTCTGGATCCGTGGAGTCTAATGCCACCTTCATATCAAGAAATACGACTAGTGTCAAATACGTGTGGGTGTACCATTGTTTCATGATTTGGGTAGAGTAACCAACTGGGTTCAATAGCTGTCTAGTTTTCTCGGGTTCGCTGTTCCCGAGCTTCCCTTAGGCATTCAGTGTTTATAGGTCGTAGGAATTTGAGAAACTGTGTTGATGAGTCTGATTTTTCCGTGGTAATAACAGGAGAATTCCTCTACTTTTGAAGACTGGGATAGTCAGAGATTGAGGCCATTTGGAGGATGTGATGTCTAATTTCCATATGTTATACAATGCTTCAGTAAATCTTACCAAGAATCTTTGGTCACCATCTTAAATACTCCCGGTACTAGGTCATTGAGGTGTGCTGCTCTTCCTCGTCCCTGGATACTTTCAGCGCTTATTAATTCAAAGAAAGTTGATGAGATATGCTGGCCCCTGGCAACCTTCTCCTGGTTGATTCTAACTGTTGTCTGGTGTGAAATTTCCTTTGTTGCTTATTGTTGACTTGCATTTCATCCTTGTGTATAAACGGCTTGTATGTGTAACTGTAGGGCATGAGGTGGGACTTATGGGAAAGACTATTCTTTGCTCGTTAGGGTGTCTAATGGTGAGAACCGATAACGGTCTGTCGCATTGATTTCTTGCTTGTGTGTAAGGTTGTTCTATGCCGATAAATGCGTAGCTAGTTTCGCTTTCAAAGTAGCTTATCATTCTTACGGTCAGGTTGAGATGAAAGTGGTTTTCGAGTTGTAGTTTTCTTATGTGAATTTAGGTGCAGACCAATACGTTCTGGAATTGAATTGTGATCATTATCCATTTACATCCTCTTTGAGAGGTAATTTTGTACGCATCTTCTCCAATGATGACTGGTGATGGTTTGGTATGTTTGTGTCTGCCATTGAGTTGGGGTTGGCGGACACTGCATGAGACAGTCTCTCTTCATGTCTTTATTTCATGATTTTCAGAAATAGAACTAGGTGGTTGTCTGAGCAGAGTTGTAGCTGGTGACCTCGACTATCGGTTTGTTCAGTTAGAGTTGCGGAAGTAATGCCAAGGTGGTTTCCTGTCTATTCCAACCTTCCTACTTGCACATTGAAGTCGCCTGCTGTAACGACCACATGTGGAGGTTTCGGTTATAGTAGGAGGTTAGATAGTTTCTAGTAGGAATCATCTTCCACTTTATGCGAAGTTCATTTGTTGGGCACATGACCATATGTGTGTAAGGAAAGCGGAGATGTGTTTGATGAACGTGTCATTTAGTATAACTGTACACGTAACTGGCGACTCGGGTGTAGTCGGGTAGAATGCATTCCACTATGAGACTTAGTGCCTTACCTATACCTACAAGTCTGCTGGAACTAGCTACTGATTCTGCGAACACTTGTAAGATGACTTTCACAGATTTACCTTGTTGAAGAAATGAAGTCAAGTGAAGAATCATGCTATGTCATGTGTGCATGTTTCACAAACACAGTATACGTCCATGAGCTGAGGTGCCGAATGTTTGGCCAGCAAAGGTTATTGTGTCATCAAACAAAGAGTGCAGATATTCAAGGAGTAGTGCGTACGTAATATGCTGTGTACTTTCAGGGGAAAATGAATAAATACCCATGAAGATGGGTTGCTGTCTTGTGTTGCAAAGGTGTAAGTTAGAGATGATTTGAAATTAATGGTGGATTTGTCAGGTGTGATTGACTTTGTTTCGTGACATCTGAGCCGGAGGCACGTATGTGTATTTGGTCGATCACATGCAACTTTTCGGGGATCGTAGATTGTGTGACATCCCCATTGGAGTAAATCTTTATAGTGCCGGGAGATTATAAGACAGCGAAGATTTTGCTATATGTGCGGTTTATCTTTCTAAATGCATGCTGTAAGGAAATGCCCTTCGCTTGGGAAAAACACTATTTCATGAAGTCAGGCTAACGTTGGTGTGTAGTCTGTGGTCGACGAAAACCCAACACGCAGATAAAGGGCTCATTTGGCTCTCAACAATGCACCCCAGTTATGTAGCCTGCAATATATCCGATTACCTATCAAGAGTTCAGTGCCTTGCACAGTGTTGTGTACTATTAGATGGCTTCGAAATTTTGTCATTATAGGTCGAGGGTATGCGGCGGCTCCAGACTTCCGATTACCGTCACTCTGTATAGTATTAGTTACGTATTATGAGTTATCACATGAGTTATGTGATGGTTAGACGTAGGCTCTTGGCTAGAAGAGTTAGGTCAAGTAGTGAGGTTCAGACTAATCATCGCTTAAGATGTTGCAACATGTGTCACCTTTATCTAATCGCTGTCAACCGTAGCTGGTTATGTTTTGTAGGTTAGATTCGGATTGGGGAGAGGCTAGGAGGTCAGACTAATACGTGGCTATTAGTCTGAGTCTTATAGGGAAATATATACGTTTGAGTTGTTATTTGTTACTTTACAAAACCAATGTTTAGAGACTTTTGATTGTCTGGTTCATAATGGTATAGATATACTCACTCTATTTCCTTGTATAATTTTGCATGACTGCTAAACTTTATGTTTATTTGCGGATGGGTGGCTGCCGCCTTTACGTGGTGGTTTGGTTTGCATGTCACAATGACCTAACGAGTTATGCTAGTAGGACGCTTGTTCTCTGGTGGTCCTGTCATACCAGAAGGGTCACTTGGATTGTGGTGCGACAAAAGACAGTTGCCATAATGTAGATAGCTGTGTTATGATGGGGCTGTGAGGATGCAGTAGTACTGCTAACTTTACGGATATATGACTGCAGTGTTGTGTTTTATCAGGATGACTAGCTGTGTCATACTGATGCTGCCTTACTTATAGTAAGGGGTTTTAGAGAATGTCTGTCTTAAAAGTAGCATACTCCCATCTACCTTGTGGCATGTCTGTTCTGACGATGTGGGTTCATAGTTAAATTCGAGTAAAAGAAACTAAAATCTCAAACTCCTGGAAACACCGTATTTGACTAGTCTCAAGCAGGATGTCCCTTGGTCTCCGTGGTTTTCCACTAACCCTTCTTTTCCAGACAATTAAAAACAAAAACATACCTTGATTGTTGTGGATTTGGTTTATGTCATTTAAACTGTCTTTGTTTTTGTGATTGCTGGCACACAGCAGAGATTTGTGATAAAATGTTGATTGCTGATTTCGTGAATTTGAATTTATCTTTAATAAGAATATTTTTCTCCGTACTGCTTTCTTTCATAGGAACTGAGTGTTCAAGATGTCATTGATTCTGATTATCCGGATATATCCCGATTAGGTGTCTTGCAGGGCGCTGGGGATGATAAACTTGGTCGTAAAGTTATTGTTTTTTCTGCCTGTCGTCTGCCACCTGCAGATTTAATTGATCATCAACGTTTGCTTATGTGAGTCATTGTTTTCAAATATTTAGTTAGGTGGCGTTTATTTGACTAAGTCTAACAATCGCATTTTGTTGTGGAATATTCATAGTGAGAGACAACAGTTCGTAGACACAACATTATTAGTGGGAATAGCTATTTCATTTTAATGCACCGCCATAAACTGTAGTCAATCCTTTCATTTAAATGTACCCATAACGTATACATAGTCATGCAGGAAAAACTAGGTTTGGTATAGGAGTATGTATATCCTAGCAATTCAAGCAGTCTACTAAATAAATTGGAGCGTACAGCGACTACATGTTGGTTCGAGCATGTCTCTCTCTGTGTCTTAATGGACGTAGGAAAACTTCTGCAACCAGACCATTTCAAGTGCATCCTCACAATGAGAGCACTGAGGTCATTTCCTGTAAGAAACTGGCCCGACAGTCATCGGAATTGAACAACATCCCTCATCCAGAAAAGGCTTGGCACTATCTCCAGTTTACCGTGAAAACAGCTTTGAAGCCTGTAACCACTTCCTAGAGAGTAGTTAGAAAGAGTCAGTGGAACTCAGCAGTTTCTTCTGAATTAATGGGTGCATAAGAACGCATCCTCATGGGCTCCAAGTACAATGAAGAAGAAACGCCAGGTTCTGAAAGGAACACAAACATACTTAACAATGGCAACACTGGCTGTTTCTCAACTTGAAGACCTGTGGTAAGTTATGTACGTCGAGTGGTGTCCGTCAAGGATGTTTAGTCGCTTCATTTTAATTTAATTTTGTCATATTCTTGCTGATGGCAGCCTCCGTCTGATTGTCTGACTTCACAGGGATTGATATAATCACAGGAGACTCCTTGGTAAACCTAGAGTACTCAGATGACATAGTCCTGTTGGGTGAAGACTGACAAGATACAGAATCTTCTGAACACCCTGAGTGGTGGTGATTTGAGAATGTTTGGGATGCGTATCTCGCCACCCAAGTACAAGTTGTTGCTTCAGTTCTGGTCTTTGACAGTGCACCGAATAACAATAGAGAGTAAAGTTACTGAGTGTACTGACCATTTCACTTACCTGTAAGCCAAACCAGTCCTGGTGGGTCAGTGACCTACGAAATCTCGGCTAGAATATAAAGGCTTAACTAGCTCTTCCACCGACCCTTCAGCGATGACTGATGGCAATGCCATGTATCTGTTTCCACCGCTAAGTTGAGCTTGGTGGACAGTGACTCTTGTTATATCTGAAGCTTTTCTTCACTGGAAATAAATGGTTGTCTGAGCACAGTTGTATCAGGTGTTCACTGTTATCTGTTCGTTCGACTGGGATTCGGAAAGTGCCACTTAGGTGCCTTTCTACCTGACCTAGCCTACCTACTTCTTCATTGAAACCACACGCTACGACAACCGCATCTATACCTTAGGGTTTCAGGAAGGCTAGACAGTTTTCGGTAGAACTCTTTCTTCACTTCATCCGAACTGCAGTCGGTGCATGTATAAGCAGAGATTGCAAAGAGACAACGATGAGTTTCACTATCCTACTTAGTCCTCAGTCGAACAGCTCATAGACGATGGATAACTGGGATCCTGTCTGGCGGTTCGCCTTCTTCCTTAGCACTTTGTGCTATGCATACACTCTCAAGGCCGCAACAACTAACCACCGAATCTGCAGAAACTCGGCGGGCGGACCTTGTGGATTCACTATACTGTCTGGGGGGAGGTGAGTGAGTAACCGTAGTTGGTCCACGTATGCGTGTTTCGCAAATTCAACACGCATCCGTCACCAGAGTTGCTAAAGTTCTAGCTAACGAAGGTAGTTGGCTGATTTGATAGAGGTTGCGGATATTGGAAGTTCCAATTCGTAGTTTGGAGCGCGATTTCATGAGACCAATGATGCTGTTCCTTAAACTCAGAGCAGCACAGCTGTAAGAAAAATTAAGATAGTGTACAACTGTTTAGCAAGAGACGTGAAGGAAGACTGGAGCGTAAGAATGTGGAAGGTTGAAGCCAATCTGAAGGAACTTGAAAGCTGGTATAGTTGTGTGTTTTTGATACTTCCAGGCTATCCACACCGTGGAAGACTATTTCTTCCTGTGGTACTTAGAACACTAAAAGGGTTAGTGTGTGACCTCATAGCTCATCGGACAGCTGCTTGATGCCGGTCATACAGGGGCTTTTCACATACTTTAACGGATACACCTGTATGGCGTTTTCTGCATTGAATTGTCTGCCTGAGAACATTTTGGTTGTACCTCGCGGTGAAGTTTTGGAGGATGTGTGGTATTTTGTAACTATCTGGTTAAGTGTAAACTTGCAGTTCAACGAATGTTGGTACCGTTGCTTAGAAGAACGGATTTTTATCTATTGAGCTGCTAGAATACTGTAACTATGTGGCATTGTTGCCAGTTTGTTAGTTTAACTGGCGATTTCACACATTTTCTCTATCAGGCCTCTATCCCAATTTGTATTACCTATGAATACGCGTAGATATTACCATTGGCAAGTACATGCCCAATTACTGCTGACGAGTCCTTCATAGGACAAAACAGTTGTTCTAGACCTCTTTTCTAGCTGCCATCTCTGCTCTGAATTGTAGTTGATTAATTATTTTGCATCTCTCGATACTTTTATTATACTGTTTTTTCTTTCAAGTGAATAATGAGTTGAATAATCCACCTTATTTCCTTCATAAAGTATTTTTGTTTATGCATTCTTCATTTTATGTTGTTTAGGTATATTACTAAAACACTGGAACAATATGTTAGTATGGACTATTGTTTAATCTATTTTCACTTTGGTCTTTCAAACAAAAACCGACCGAAATTTAAATGGCTTGTTCAAGCCTACAGAAACATTCGGACGCAAGTAAGTTATATGCTATGTCACGAAATAAACTATATTCGATCAATAACATTTCCAATGAACTGTCTGGAAATTTATGTTTTAACATGAAATTTTCTGCGTTTTACTTCAGAAAATGTGGCTAATGTTTATAGCTGAAATCACCTGCGTTCTGATTGAATTATTCTCTAACATCCAGCTATCGTTTGTTGAAATCTTTTTGAAAGTAAATGTTATCATCAATAGGGATTCGTGATGGAGTTTTACTGACTATATATAATTTATGAACTAAATGATTTCCGAAAAGAAGTATAAGCCTAGATTATACCTTTTGTTGAGAATTACATCGTAATTTGCAAGAAGCTAGCCTTTCTTATCCTATTTTTCACTTTCTAATCACACTACTTACACTTATGGTAGAAATCCATATTTTCACCGTGGTGTAACATGACTTCGCCTTCCGGTAAAACGGTGAACTCGCACAAGTGTACGCATCATGTACTCAGAAATGATATAAATGGATGTAAATGAAAGAAAAGATCTGTTCTTGGGAAATAGTCAGTCTTTCGTAAAGCAAATTCATCTACAGTCTTCATGAGTTATTGTCGTGTAGTGCTTATCTTTAACTATCGCTTCTTATCATATCAAAAATCCAGCTGGGTGTCTCATACAGGCAGAAAGACAAAATCAACCTAGAATCTCGCATAGAAGTGCATTTGTTCAAGTGCCATACTTAGTGTACGGCTTAGACCGGTAGTTAGGGACTTCATGTATAGGTGTTATGTCTGAGCATGGCTCAAACCAATGGTTAATGACTTGATTTTGTATGTTAATGTCTGTGTCAAGTTTCGATAAATCTTTCACACGCTCTTTCTGAGGAATTACTGCAGTGTGTGAAAAACTTGTATTGTTTCCTTTTATGAATTTGAAAAGGCTATAATACACAAGTTCGTAACACAGAGTAAATTTATTTTATTTCACTTCTTTCTAAATTTAAGCATCAGTCATTAAACATACATTATCAAAAGAGGAGTAAATACCTTTATATTTTAAGACCCATATACCCTACTAATAATACAAGCAGATCAAGGCCAAAATTTGTAACCTAAATAGTAACTATTTCCTAAAACCACTTCTCGATCGCAGTATGCTGCTCTTCCTCTAGGTTTTCTGATGAGTATAATTCTCCAGTTTTATCATAATGTTTTTACCGAACTCATTCGTAGTATAGTGGGCAGGGTTGTAAAAGTTGAGATACTATTCGGTTTATGTTTCCTGTTGATAAGCAAATCTATGACATCTTTTATTACTTCTTCGTGAAACACCCATAATGGGCGACGGAACGTATTATCAACCTCCTGTTCTTTTTGTAATATAATACTCGAACGAACTTTACCGAGTTTTTTCCAGTAAATTGTCGATACGATACACATGATGCATGCAACAAAGTGTCATCCATATATCTTGTATGATATATTGCTTCATTAATGACATAACTAGATTCTGTACAAGTTTCCAATTTACTTGACCGAGGGTTGGGCCCAATGATCCCCTCATGATCACCTGATCGGTCTGAAAACATATTTGCAAATATGTATGCAATTGACACTGGCAGTTTGTCGCATTTCAACGTAGTTGTAAAAATAAAGCTTAAGATTTACTGTTAGTTCCAGTCCCGGTAAATGGTATTGTTTGTCTCTTACTGGATAATGTTGTGAATACTGAGGCATTTTTTCTTCTCAAAGAACTGGTTGGTCTTTCTTCCGTGCAGAATTGTATCCTTGAAACTACAAACAGCGAACTCATTTTGAATCAACTCAAGCGTGCTGACCAACCAGCGTTCAAGCTGGTTACAGCAACAGTTGGTCTTAGCAATAATTAGTCGCAAGGATACAATAGATTCATCCATTTTCGCTCAATTGAACTTGACTGCAAGGTATGAGCTCCGCTTTTTGTGGTCATTATACTTCTCCCCGTCGATAGTCTTTCTTTCCAGAACTCCATCAAATAGTAGTATTACTGATCTGATGTTCCAGTCTTCCTTAAACATAGAGAAAGTCTTTCACGAGTGGTACCATTTTCGATGTGAAGTGTAATCTCTTTGTGACTCCAATGTGAAGGTGTGTTTAGTCGGATCTAGGCAACTCATCGTCGTTTCGTAAACTTTTTGGGGCTCTCCTGTATGTTTCTATCATCCTTGTATTAGGACTAAAGTGATGGTATATCACAGAACTGTTTGATAAATCCACCGACCACGATATGAAGCATTCTCTCTTACCTTCACTCGATGGCTTCGGGTTGTAATATTACGGTAAAAGCTTTGAAAATGAGTCTCTGCAGCGGTTCTGAAGACAAATGTTTGTCACACAGAAATCGAGATCATATGATAAGATCTTGTACTGGGTTCTGTTAAGTTTTATTTTAGATAAGTTGACTGCCTGGTTTTCTGAATTTAAAAACAATTCTTCATACAGTCCTTCTTTCAAAGATCTGGAAGAAGTATTGTAGGTCAGCTTGGCCTTTCCGCTTATGTATTAGGTAAAAAATGAAGGTTTTTATTTAGCAAGGAAAATTTAGGTTTTCAGTCACTCCGTTAATTTAATTTGCATTTGTGCGTCAGTCGGTCATCTTTTCTTTATGTTATCCAGTATACTATTTAGCTATTCGGTGATTTTTTTATTTCAAGCAGATAAAACATCATATTGGTGGTACAAACACATGAAATATGAGAAGGGATATGTGGGTAAGTGGAATAAAAGGTGAAATAATAGAATTATGTGAATTCAGCGGGGTTAACATGGTGTAGGTGCATTTAAACTGTTGCCTTCGATTTCGATCTGTTTAACCTAGTCGCTGATTACTTATCCCAGCCTTAATCGAACGGACATAACAACATGTTAGCCCCTTCAAAAATGCAATGGTTCAGGTCACCGATCCAGGAATAGCAGACCGAAAAAGGTAAGGACTGACAATAAACAGTATCAGTTAGTTTATTCTTGTGTTATACTATCTCTCGACTTCCAGTTATTTACCTTTTGTTTCACCACTTGGCTGAAACAAACAGTTAAGAATTTCGTAAACTGCTGTTATATGGATGTTTTGTTATTGTTAACTTGCTTACAATTTAACAGTGCTCCATTCAGTTAGGCAGGCACTTGACTTTTTATATACTCCACCTCTACTATCTAAGTTATGAAGTGCAACTGGTTTTGCTTCATTCACTCAAATGGTTAAATTGGTCTTTTCATGCCAGACATCTTATTCAACTGAAGGCATCATACATCGTATCTGTGCTCCCTGGTATTCAATGATTCTCTTGTTGATGTCAGTCGGTTAATTTCTTTTACGTTATCAGTTTGTTTTGAGTGTTCCAAATATCAGATGCTCAACTGATCATCCGGTCTAAGAAGGATTTTCTCGTCCTGAATAGTGTTTGATATGCATTTACATCACTTATATTTAAGTAAACATGTTAATTCAATAATATTTCGTGTTTTGATCCTTACTTTCTATAAATTTACTCTTTAGTTTTCGCAAAAATTTGAAAGCCCTCTATATAGTACATCCTACTACTGGTGTAAAAATCTTGTGGACACTTTTCAAACCATTTATCAGGTAATTTGAACTGGTTGTTTTGCAATTCTTTCTCCTTATATTCGTTTGTTTTCAGTATTGTGGCTGTTATCTTACGTATTTTATTAAGAATCCCTTTATTTATTTACTGATAAGAACGCAAACAAGGTACAGCAAGGGTATCAAGAAATGCACTATACAAAATCGTATAATAATGTGAAGACATAATCATTGGGAAGTGGATAAGTAAGAAAGAAAAACAAGAATACTATGATTAGAAGGGCAATTCAGTAAGGTACATTCGAAACGAAATATTCATTACTTTCCAGCAGCAGAAGATAGGAGGAAACTACAGCATGACTACCACTGGTTTCGTCAAAAACCACTGAGTTGTGTAATCTTTCGGACCCCACCTAGAGAGTCGTGGTGCACCAACAAATGCTAACCCGACACAACTATCCTTCATCCCACGGCGCTACGTCATACACCGACTACCCTCCACTTATTCCATCCAGTCCCAGGATTAGCAAACAATGAACGGTGTGAAAAGCGTTGGGACGACATGCGTAACACATGTCCAAGTCACCGAAGTCGGTGTTCCAAGATGACTTCATTTATTGAATGACGATTTCCATCATGCCCGAACGTATGCTGTCGTACCTCAGAATTATGTTGTAAATTTGTATCTTATGTGAGGGCTGGGATACTTCCCGGAGGCCCAGATCAAAGCAGGTGTTTGTCTTAGGAGGTCAGTCCCTGAGCCTTTGACTTAAAGTCTAATCCACAAGGCAGTGGAGCAACATCAGGAACTGCATTCCCATGGTTGCCGGTTACCAAAATAGGTCCGTGGGCCATTCGCTCCATCTAGAACCTGGAGCCCATAGGCACCGTTGGTTTGGAATTAGAGTTTTCCAACTCCTATAAGTGGACCCTCAGTATCCACCAATACGGTGATAAGTGCCGGACATACGCTTGCGCCCTTTCATATCTGTGAAAACACCTTCACCACGGGAAGGGAGTGAGTAGGACTTCTCTGGTAAAGACTGTGAACGCGTAGCAGAGCATTTTGGGGCCATGATCACATGAACATTCACTACTTGTTTTAGAGCCAAGATAGGGATAAGATTGACTGATGTCTGCATCATATAAAGTCCGGTGTTTTTATATGCCTGATTGTTTCTTTTTTTTAGGCATAATGTAACTGACAAATTTGTCTGCCTCATAACCAATCATATACTGATTATATGGGATATCAGTTTACAATTAAAAATCAAATGTGGGTAGTTTCTGGGTTTTAGAAATGTCTAACATTTACTGTAATAATGACTACCATAGAAATGGCGTATACTGTCAATAAAAATGAATTAGGTAGTGTTTAAGTTGTTTAAAACAAGGCAAATGAGTGTGTTGTGTGGATAGGAATATCATATGGTATTGGGTAGTGAGTATTGCAGTCTGATGTTTCCAGTCACTTGTCCAAAAATCCTCTGCGGTTCACGAATAATAACCAACAGATGACCAGCTGGTCCGCATAACCTAGTTTTATGCAGAAACAGATTGCGATTGAGTAGTCTATCTATGAAGTCTTTCATTTCGACATTAATTAACATAGGTTGACATCTCTGTGGGAAACTGAGTTTTATGACAATATCAGGTACATCTTGCCGATGAGTGATAGCAATCATGTGATATCCACGGCATACGGAACTTTGTTCCAAACAACTCCAGACGTTTGTCATCGAGCAAAACATAGTTATTTCGAATCATATTGCATTCCATGATGCAGAACTGGAATAGTTGCCATACGCTGACCATTTAGTCTGCGTTGTAATTCATAAAGGAATTACTTTGAGTGCTTACCTGCTATGAAGTAACACAAACGTTTCAATAACGCTTCATATTTTCTGTAGTTGGTTTTCAGGACCAAACCGACTAATTTTAGTTGATATATATCGTCTTTGTATGAAGACCTTGGTGTTCACTTTCATTTAATTTCAATATGCGTTAGGTAATAGTGCTTGGAGCCATCAATACTGGTACTTTGGTGACTTAAATTTTATATTTCGTATTCAACTTCACTTGCGATGCTAAGCATCATCAGGACAGGGCAGCGAAGACGGGACTTCAAGTGAATGTAGCATCGTTTCAACTACAGGCAGCAGCACAGGCACAGCTGAGGACGTCAAAGCCAGGATCGGAAAATCAAGACAAGCCTTCGTTAACCTGAAACCAGTGTGGATATCTACTGCACCCCACTCAGCATAAAGAACAAGATCCGGATTTTCAACACTAATCTCAGTCAAGTAAGTCAGTGCTTCTATATGGTTCAGAGACTTGATACGTTACGAAAGGCATTTCCAACAGACATTCACCAACAACTGGCTACGCTCGTTACTGAAGCTCATATGGCCAGAAAGAATAAGCAACAAGGAACTCTGGCTGGTGACGAATCAACCAAGAACCTATCGCCCAACAAATATGCAAAAGAAAGTGGGGATGGATTGAGCATACACTGAGAAGACCATTTGGGAGCATCACATGCCAGGCCAGGCCCTCGAGTGGAAGGCGAAACGCTGAGTTGGGCATCCGAGGCGAGGTTGACATGGAGGAGATGGTGTGGTGAAGAAATGAAAGCTTCTGGGCAATGGTGGAGCCAGATTGAAAAGACTGGAGAGAGTAGAGTGGAATGGAGACGTGTTACTGAAGCCTTATGTTCCACTAGGAACCCAAGGGACAAATAATAATAGTTAGATACTCATTACATGCTTTATTTCTTCTTCTAAGTAGACGCACTCTTCTATACTCGACAAATGAACAACAGGAGCTATTCTTTCTAAGCTGCATAACGTCACCTTTTGACTGATACTTAGCAAGAACATTAGTCAAATGTGAAATTATGCATGTATTGATTTCATTGTGTTGGTGGGACGATTTGCAACCTAAGTTTGATTCATTTTCATCTAGGTTGATTACCACTTGTGAGCTTATTAACTGAAATATTTTTCAATTTTATTGTTGTTTATTAGGAGTGTCTTTCACGGGTGTCGTTGTCATTCATTCGTTTTTGCTCACTTATTCTAAAAACCGGACTACGGTATTTATGTGAGGAAATAGTTTACTTGCATGCTGAATAAAATGATTAATTGTAAATCTGCAAACAATTTAGCTGTGGACAGAAAAAAAATATTACTGAAACGGAATGATTAAGAAAATGGTATTGGTATTAATTTTTTTTGTTTACCGCATGAAGGAGAATCTTCATTTTCCGGAATGATTCCTAAGGTTCCGAATCCTGTCACTTTCATTTGAATGGTGGGGAATGAACTGACTGGAAGAAACAATTAACATTTTGATGTTGTCTTCCTTATGAGGAGGGAAGAGTAAGAGAAGGCTGTCATCGAAATAGCACACTCTTTGCCCACGATCTTCCGGTTCCAGCCTTATGGGTTTTTCTCATATGCCATTATAACCATATCTCAAACCAATAATGCTCATATGTCTGTATTTGGCAAGCTTCAAACGAATGTCCCACGGGCTCTGCAGCCACACAAATCGTTTTCTCTTTCCGGTACTCTGCAGAAACAACTTCAACGGTGTGGAGAGCCGGGAAGTGTCAGCCGCCAGCCCGCACGCTTCCAGAGTAGTACACAAGACCCAATCAAGCAAAACTTACTCTCCCTTCGCATTCACTTGTGGAGTTGCGACTCATTGGTTTAGAGAAATGACCTTCAAACAAATGAGTCACAGCTTCGAACCTCACTACACCTACTGAGGTTTGGGCAGCCAGGTAATATTGAAAGAAACGAGAAAACGGAGACTAAGGAAGGAATGTCTATTACTGACATCTTGTGCAGTAGTTATCAAATATGGTACACCTTGCTCTAAGACAGTCATTTGCAAAATATGCTTCATTTCCTCTTCTGCTTCTATCTTGCTTTGCTCTTAATACACTCGCGTTGTCTCTTGCGTTTCTGTAGGCAGAATCTCTACCCATTCCTGGTAATTCCCTATGATTTCTGCCGCCCTCAGTATATACTACTTATATCCATTCCTATGCACAACGCCCACTGCACTCGTGCCCCCATCAAAAAAATTTCGGGCTTGAAGCCGTGTTGATCGTCTTAGTGCTGTCTTCTCTTATTGTTAATGTAATGTGTTTTCACACCGTCGTAGACTGGCGTTTACTCTTTTCTCTTTGTCCCCTTTTTTGATGGTATAAACTGAACCGCGTCTCTCGGTAACGATGTTTGGTCCTTCCCACTTCAGAAGGAGTTTTCTTCTACCATATTCACCTCCAACTTACGCCACCTATGGCGTCGCCGTGATATCCGATTGTCTATTAAGGGTTACGTGTACTGCACATCAGTCCACTCTGTTCTACTGTATGTACGGCTGTGAAACGTGGCCATTGATGGTGGAAGACATGAGAAGGCTGGCTTCAGGTGTTTCACCACCGTTGCCTTCGTAGTACAACCCATATTCCGTGGTGTCACCACGTTAGTAACCCAGACGTCAGGTGTAAAATTTTAGTGAGTAGAGGTAAATCGGTTGACGAGGTTATGAACCTACATCGACTGAGATGGTTGGGACACGTGTTACGAATGCCTGCCTAGTCACCGATTGCCTCGTCACACAATGATAGTGTTGGCCGAAGTAGGTCCAGGCTGGAAAAAGACCCGAGGTGGCCAGACTAAAACATGGCACCGATATATGTAGTGTTTGACTGTTGGTTTGAGCCATGTGGGGCGATGCAGACTGGGTGGTTGGGGTCCGCTGGATAGGGGAAACCAGTGGTTGAAGACTCTAGGTGATATGGCTGAGAACCGACGTCAGTGGCGCAGGTGTATACACACATTATCCTCATCGTAACATTATGCCGAATAGCACTATTTTGTCATTCTTCCTCTCTTTCTTCCCATACTTTATATTTCTCTGGGCTGAATTTTCTTATCTTCATCTTGCACCTCACTGCCTTTTTACTTGTTGTACTGATATGAGCTGTGGCAACTCGGACCGTTACGCAGTAATGTCTGGTCCTATGTTGGTTGTGATGACAATGATATTCGCCTCCTGACGTTTATCCTCGTCCTTGACATTTCACTTGGTCTCCGACCTCAAAGGGTTTCCATTTACTTCTTTTTCTCTGCTCGGATTTTCAGCGTGAGCTTTCTGTTTTTGTTCCACATTTCTGATTTTCTGTTTCCGCTCCTTTCTCAATCTTGTCATGGTCCACGCCTGTTGTTGAAGCTAGGTCTCCTGCCATACATTGACTGGAACGACTACTTTTTGGTTGCTCCTTGTACCGATGTACGATGCGCCAATAATAATAACAACGGCAATTAGGTCTCCCAATTGCCTCCTTTCGAAGCCAGCCACTCCTTAAGTATGTGGTTATTCCGTTCTGTCAAACCGTTAGTCTGTGATTGGTACTGTATCGTTCTTATCCTCTTGATATCGAGCTGCTTCAAACAGGATTTGAATTCGTCCCTCTCAAAATAAGGCTCATGGTCGGTCAATATCATCTTTGGCATATCGTGATCCGCGACAATATGCCCATGGCAAGGGCATCTTTGAAGTATCGACGGAATCTCGAGCTAACAAGCCGTTATCGGGGACCATCTGTTGTATTTTTGTTGTCACAATCACTTATTTCTTGCTGACACTACCTTCAAGCATAAGGAGAGACTCTCTCATATGGTGTCCGTGAATATCAAAAGGATGATGGACATGCATTGCTATAAGCCAAGCCATCGTTGGAAATGATCATTAGAGGATTGCTACTCTTTTTGGAGTACCTGTTTGAACCCTGACCATGCATTAGTACGGCCACGTGTATGTTTACAAGTTTATGGTCGTTGAAAGTACGCATTTATAGAGGATATAGCTAAGCATTTATTCAGTCTGCTGCAAAAACAGCAGCAGAGACTGTTGATCAGCTACATCGAAACGTTAGCAAGTAGCAGTGAATTTCCTACAACAGCATCCGAACTGATTTATGCGAGGAGGCTCATTCCAACGGGCTCTTATCGCAATAAAGAGCAAAAGCAATTCAAACGTAAGTTGACTGAAAGTCTTTACAGTGATCACGAGCAGTGGCGCGTGGCGAAAGAGAGAGAGTTGGAGAAAGCATCAGCGTTGGGTAACATAGCAACTGTTATAGCCTAGTAGGGATACCAACAAGAAGACGCTGGTGAGTGAAACCACCACCGAAAAGGATGAAACGTTGATAACCTCTTGTAACATGCGGTTCAAACGGTGGGTGAAGCACTGAAGCACACTTTGACTGGCTCACGACAGCATCTTAGTTGACCAGCCTTCATCCTAAACCTGAATTGAATGTAGATCTTTTTTTGCAATTCATATCGAATTCCAGAAGGCTGTTTTTCCCCACCTTAAATAATGAAAACGGCAGGATCGGAAATTCTAAAGTATTTAGGTAGGAGTTTACTGTATAGAGTAAGGGAGATACTAGGTCGTGCATGAGAATCGAAGGTGGTGCCATCAGATTGGTCTACTTTGCCGATCATTCTAGTCTGTACGAATGGAGGGGAGTTTTCTTCTGGTAACCATTGGGAGTCGGTCTGACTAACATCGCCTCCAAGATCTTAGAGTCCATACTTATTTGATGTCTAACTGTAGTCTGACAACAACAAACTTGAACAGCAAAGCAAGATTCAGACCTGTATAATAATACATCACTGAGAACTTCACCCTTCAGGTTATGGATTACAGGCATCATTACCGGCGGCCGACACTCGGCACATTTCTTGACCTGAAGGTGACATTTGATGGGAGGATGTTGTGGCAGTGTATGAGAAACGTAAGAGGTAAACGTAGGCACTGTGGCAGAGTATAATTCCATATTAGATTGTTTATTTGATATAACACACAGTGACACAGTATAAGTCTCTGGAGAAAGATGGCCATTGAAAGTTATCTCCTGCTTTAATCACTGGGTTTGGTTAGCATTTCTTGCCTCACAAGAATCGTTCTTTGTGGTCCATTAAGGGAGAAAACGTCAAACCTACCTGTCGACACTGTTTGTAGCATGGAAGAATTGTTCTAATCTTATGCGAATATGTCTTGTTCAGCATTATGGTCAAAATCGCTTCGGCCAAGATGCTTGTGTCACCAATAACCAAGAGAAAAATAGTTTATTCGTAAACATATTCTTGTATGTAACCATTTTAATTCTCAGTGCCAATTTGGTTATCATTATCATTGACTATCTGAGATAGCCGTAGTTTGGCAGACTAGTATTTATACTGGGTGATAATTAAAGGTGAGATAGAAATTTGGACCGCCTATGGATTCGAACCAGAGACCAACGGGTTTCCGACCCCGATACCCTACCAACTGAGCTACGAGGTTGGCAGAGCATCGGGCTGGAAACCCGGTGGTCATTGTTTCGAATACAGTCGCGGTACAAATTTCCATCTTACTTTCAATCATCGCCCAGTATAAATTCTGGTTACAGTTTAATTTTCAAACTTCATTGTCACCCGATAGACTTAATAAAAGAGTAACAAAAGATATAACAAGTGTTTCCCAAAATGTGAGTAGTCTCAAATATTTTGTAACTATCTTCATATCATTATGGAAAATAATATACACTCGAGACGTCACCCACTAGATAATGTTGTATTATCTTGTTCGGAATCCGAAAAACAGATGTAATATGCTATGACAGCTTATGGCTACTACATTTCTCTGGTGTGAATTCTAGATTTGTATTCAAACTATTGACGATAGTGGTCTGTTTAGTGTGAAAAGATCAACTTACAAGGTGGTATTTCATTTTCATTTAATATTCTTAGATGTATTATTCTATTGTCTGACATTATTGACACTTGGTTTTAGAATCTAGAAAAGGTGTTTGATTGGGATTTCATGAGTTTATGCGCTTTCTTTATTATAGTGTTTTATTTGATCTGCAACTTAATGGTCGAAGCATTCGCATGTCAATCACACCATAAAATCCATTTCTCCAAATCCAATCCCTTTAAGTGTTAGCCGTCATCTAGTGCACAGATTTTCTAACAGTCGTTTGAATCAGATAAGATTCATTCATAAATATACATCCATCCATCCAAATCAACACAGGACCAGCCATTACTGTGTAACGGTCATAAATAATACCCTTGATAGAGAGATAAAGAGAAACTCATAGGTTGACCTAAACCGTTTAAAAATGTTTGCATAACATTATTAGTAGCTTATGTTTCTTATTCTTGTTCTCATGGATACATTTATTATTCTGATTTTTTGTTTTTGCTATCGCATCTGTTTTCAAATGAAACTGCTTACAGATAATGAGATTTGTTCATGGTAAATATAACTGTTCGTTCTCATGGCTGCTTCATTTCTCCAGATTGTGGTAGCATACCATGTTCTATTAGTCGGAGAATGAATTAAAGTTCAGTTAGTAGTGGGTAGTTTTAAAGTGATGAGATTTTGTAGGCGCTGTTATGAACTGAACTGAACGGTGGTTTGATTAAACTGTATCAAAGGTAACTAGTTTGTAGATGCCTGTATACTATTTCCAATATTACTTTTGGGAATCTTCCCCGGTGTAACTGCCCATTGAACCATGGTATTATTGACAATTCATAAATATTTTCTGTTTACTCAGTAAGTAATAATTGCAAGAAAAATTGGTAGAGATCAGGCCACTTATTCCTAACCAGATTTTAGCATCTTAATTTAATTGGTCAATTCTTAACTGTCTCGTGATTTTATAACCAATATTTTGTGCATTTTTTGTGTCGTTGTTTATCTCAATATCAATGTGTTTGTGTCCTAAATTTATAGTTCTAAAATGTCTCACAAAGTAATCTACGTTGAACAACTGTCAGGATTAGAAGAAACCTTATTCGTTGATCAGCTTCCGATACCCCAGCGTGTTTTAAAGTAAGTATATATACTCAGTAAAACCAATGAAAGTGGTACTATTTTTTCATTTATCATTTCCTGGAAATATTTTTTTGTGCTCTTTATGTTACCATTTGGTTCATTTGGGGTTAAATACGGGCTAGTTATATATATATTACAAATCAAAGAAACAAATCTAATATGGAATTGAATCCTACCACAGTGCCCAAGTTTTACACCTATATTAAAGATGCAGTGCCGTGTAGAAGTGTGATCACTGGTTCAAATTTGACTGTACTACGGTCCCAATTGGATCGGTGCCACCATTTTATCATCATGCTAATCAGCCTTGATTGTAAGAGTACCATTGAAAATTGAAATCTATTTAGGATGCCTGAAAGGATAAAGAAGCTATCTTAAAAAACATCTCAAATAAAGTGAGGAATCTAGTAACCACAACTCGAAATAATTCAGCTTAAGCTGGTCCCTACTACTAAAGTGTAGTTATTAGGTAAAATATGAATCAACAGAGAAATAGAATACTTTTCGTGTATCAAAATAAAAAAACATCTAATTAAGCGACAGTGGATGCCTACTTCTCTGAAAGTAATGTAAAGTTAACCTATTAAGAGCTAAGACAAACACATAACAATTGATTCGTAAACATTAGAACTAACCCATTAGATTATACGAAAAGTTTGAAGATTACAGCGACGAAGAATTTTTCCTTTCGATTTTGTTGAAAGGATTAATTTCCAATAATCTTGAAAAGAATTCAATGCTTCTTATGTTGGCTTTCAAGAGAGATGATGTTGCGACAAGAATCAACAGATAAGTTAGGAGTACACTGTCCAGAACTTATCCGGCTGCGAGACCCGTTTCACTGTATCAAATAACATGCGGAATTTCATAATCTAAACTAAACAACGTTTCAGCTCTTGTCCACTCTAACTGTATTTATCAATTCACGTGTACATGCAGTAGCAAATACATCGTAGGAAGAACTGAAAAGTGGCTGTCTACTAAGATTGCTGACCAAATGCCAAATAGTTTCAAAGGTCCATCCTCGTTCAACAGTCCAGTAGCTCGTCACTTATGTGATACGGAATTTGAAATAGATGCAATGAAGTCCTTCATAGAAACAAACGATAAGCAAAAGACCTCACACCTACTTCAAACTACCGAAGCCGTCACCAACCGCCATGAGTGACTTTTCACCCTCCTCATCTTTTCCAAAATGCTTCCAATACATTTATTTTGTGTTCGTATTAATTAGCGTTTCATTATTACTGTATTTGTTATTATTGTGATAGTTTTATCTCATCCACTAACCATTTTGTTAACATAGTATTTTCACATAATTACACAACCCCTTCTATTTACTTCTAATTTTATCTCACTCATTCGTAAACAATCCTTACCTTGCCTTATATAACCTTTGTATAGTTTGACTGAATTTATTACCGGAACCTCCCTTGCCTTCTAAGTTACAGTGTTTTCCGTATTTTTAAAACATTAACATTAAAACATACAAGGTATGTTAATATTTGTTGTAGAGACTATTTACTCATTTATTCACATAATGGAATATGGTATCACATTTAACGTAAATATAGAACATAGATGTATCTTCGCCACTGTGATCAATTCGCAGCCACATCACTTAGACTCTTCAGTCATTGATTTCACCTAAAAAATAAATTTCACCCAACACGAGTGATACCATTTTCTTACGAGCTTCTTCCTAAAAATATGAGACCATTCTAACCACTACAAAATTTTGGTCCGACCACCCGTCACTTTGGCAACAGCCTCAGCAACTCGGTCTATGAAAGATCAAAACCTCATGAACTTACTTAGCTATTTTGAACAAAGTTGTATGCTATGTTGTTTCCGTGACACGTAGCTAGTGCTACACAGACAGCGGCCACCGAATCCCTGGAGCATTCACATACTCTCCAATTATAATGATTATATTTCACAGCCACATAGGAAAACAGCAAAAACGTGGCGTGGTGCCCTGAACACTTATTAGAGAATCAGATATATCACCAACTCCATAAACTGGGTAAGTTGTCAAAAGCCAAATGAACCCTTTGTCTGCGTGCTGGAACTTCGTCGACTACCACATTGCCAGTGTTGATCTGGCTTGTTGAGTAATTGGAGTAGTCAGCGCATTGAATCATATCACAGTCTGTTATCAGTCGACGTATCAACACTGACCATACCTGAAGTAACAGTTTTCTTTCGGGAATGGGAAGTATCTGCCAAACATTCGCGAATCGTTACTCGACATCTCGAAATGACCTAGCATCCTTTCAGCGTTTTTGGCTGACAGGACCATGTCATATGTGCAACTTAAATCAATGGCTCCTCTATCACCTCGGCTATCATTTCACCATAAAAGTTCAGTCTTGAAAGCCTTAGTTATCTAAGGTAACTTCATCAATCGTACACTTCGTCAAGCTATGGTGATCTAAAAGAAAAATGTAATAATTGCAGTTTGAAACGAACTGTGTTAAATACCAGGATCTATTTTTTAGTTTCTCTCCAGACATTGGCGAAACTTCAGTACATTCTCACAAGGTTCACAAGGTCATGAAATTCATAGCAAAATTAGTTCATTATTCAAAGCTTAGCAAACTTGGGTTGAAAAATTATATGAATCGTGCATGGTGATAGTCGTATATTAGGTGTATTACTGGGGAACATATAGTAACGCTTCCTGAAATTTGTCACAGTATCTTTTATTGGTCGTCAGCTAAAGAGATTATCGGAAGAATGTTTTATGATATTATTGATCGATTGAAAGAGCTTCTCATTGTGTATAGTTTTTAGTTTCCTCACTTCTTGTTTTCGCTTTTTTTTCTTCTAACTGTTTTTCTGTTATCTAGTTATGATAAAACGATTGCTAAGGATTTACCCATAAGGCCAATTCAACAGACCCAGAAAGAGTAAGTGTATAATTTCATAATATATCGTAAGATAAATATGTATTGCCTAAACAAGTTGGTGGCTGTATTTGTTGATGACATCTGATGGTGGCTTTTATATATTATTGGCTTTGTTAGCCTGAAATAAAGATTTTCACATTTTTTTTTGGTCATTATTATTTGGTTTATAACTGTTCTGATGTTAACCCTCTGTGTGTGTACCTTTGACAGTTTATCTGATTGGACATTTTCGAGGTATCATTAAGAAATGAAAGTAGACACCATCTTGCCGTGTTCATGTGTTAGTCCATTAACTGTCTTCCATTGACTATTTCTCCGGCGTCGAACATTGACGTTGAATTACTAAAACACTGTTGCTTTTGACATTGATGCCTGCTGAATTGTTTTCTTACATTTTGACATTTCGGATGAATATAAATTACAGAAGTAGCTCATCTTTCATGCTCAACACTACATATCTGATCTCACACACGTCGGCGTGGTAAGCCTATCGAATACAACTAACAGTCCAAAAGAATCTGGTCAACTCCTATTAGCGGTTTTGCGTCCTGATTTCTTCCTCGATATGCTTTAGTAACACAATAATATAAGTGAATTCTTACTTCGATTTATGTAATTTGTCTTACTTCATGCTTGCTATTCATCATTCACTTTGGTAATCTAAGTTGCGTAAAAAAACCTAGTTGGAGAAGTTGGCATACCAATGATGTTATTCTTCTTTGACGAGACTGTAAAAAAGAGCAGAAATCTAGTTAGTAGATTATCCGTCCTTCTTAATTGGTTTACGCCCCCCCCCCACCCACCGCCTGAGGCTTTCCACTTAGGTTGTAAAATATTAGGTTTTTTTGACGTTGATTGATTTAGGTCAGTTCTGTCATAACTGTTTGTCAGATATCCATTCGTACCTTCATGTTGAAAAGATAAGATTGATAGTTTTGATTTTCCAGGTATTAATTTATGAAACTAGGTAGGTTCATGTAAGTGGTCTGACGCTACTTGACCTTTACTGAAAACCTATGATGGAAAGTGGTATCGTTTAATATATTACGTTCAGTTAAAGTAAACATTTCAGTGAAATTAATGATGGATACTGGCTAGCAATGGGGTCCAGGATGCACACTTCACTCTTGCTGGGATTCGTCAGTTGAATGTATCTTCATCCCCGAAGGAGCTCAACGATGGAAGTTATGAACTATAATGTCATTATAATAAGATTTTCATCACCTCGTTTACTTTGAAATATAAGAATGATAAACAACATTTTCTTGAACTGATTGATAACGCAGATTTATGGTGCCGTTTAACTGCTCATTACCTGGGTTTATCTACACAAGATCGGTTATTCATGAGGAATCACTTTGGAAACTCGAAGGCATATCCTATTTCTATTCTTCACTCATGCTAATAATAATCACAATGATGACAAAAATAATACCATCGCCGAGTTCAAAAGTAGACGACGATATGGGAGAACTCAAAGGCTGAGATCCAATCTCCTTTACATAATGGGATAGTAAGATATATTTCAGCAAACAGGTAAAATGTTTTGTTGATTGCCATCAGTTCAGAAATTTCGAAACTGGGAATATCAAAAAGGAACACCAACCTTTATTAAGGTAGTTAGTATCAAATATAATTTGTGAATCCTAATATTGAATACTTTTGTTTCAAGAACCTAATTTATATCTGCGGAATGAATTTTAAGCGTCACATACCGTTAAAAACAGTAGTGCAGTTTTTGTTTAAAGCTATGATCCATTGACTTGGACATTTCGCTTTTGAGCGGTGGATCACAGATTTGAATTCGAAGGATGCGCAGTCATGGGGTATCATTATTATTCTTACAATACGTGGATATTTTTGCATCCAGCGAAAACCGGTACGTGGTTGCTGAGTTGCATTGTATTTTTCCCAGTTAGAGAGAGCCATAAGGAGTTAGTTTTGACGGTGAATTAAAGTAAAATACTTATTGGTTCTCTGTGTAAAACCTCTTACTATGTATATTCTTGAAGTCAGTTGGAACGTTTATATTTTGTCTCGGCGAGTAATTTATTAACTGTTTCTTTACGCTGTATGTTTTTCACTGTGGTTCAAAATTTAGTATGGACAGTCCGTTGGTGGATTTGTTGGTGTACTAATTAATTTCATTTGCTGTATAGTTTATGTATGCTTCTCTGTTTGCCACTAAGACCTGTCATTAAATAATCCTGTTTTGTTGCATTATGCTCCTATACTGTTACAAGCCATCTGGAATAGATGAGGGTTTTGCTTAGATAGAACCCACATTCTGTTTGTTAACAACCAACTATTTCTCACATTCTCTTTAAGTACTATCATTATAATAGGATTTCTAACGAAATCTTAACCTTTGATAGTTTGTCTTAGTATGGCGGAAATGGTTTACATAGATGTCTTTGTGTATTTCAGTTCACTTACTCGACCATTTGTACCGGCCATACCAGATGCTGCGTCTGTTTTTTCGGGTGCATATGAAGAACAGTGTAAAGATGTAACGCCAGACCCACAACAACAATTCAATGTCAGTCTACAGTTGTAAGTATGAAGTACTTTTCATGTTTATTATTGCCTGTAAACTATTTTCTTCTCATATTGTATAACATTGAATTAAAAGTAACAAATATAGCTTTCTCTTTTCTCCGTAAATAATTAATTAGCATCAAAATGAATAACGGTGGTCGTCCTATCCCCATAGTTCTTGAAGACGCGATTGACTATATTCGTGATCGTGGTAAGTAGTGAACATTTACGTGATATGCTGTACTTTTTTTTGACAATAATTTCCACTTCGAATTACTCGTGTGAAAAAAACGTACTGACTTATTAAATATTTTGGTTATTTTAGTGCTTAACTTTTTTTGAATGTAATAAGCACTCAGTTAAAATTCGCTACTAATGAATAGTGTCTTGTATATATCACCACCACTCAAGGTGTTCTGAAGACTACATTTTGTCAGCGTCTTCACTTAACAGGACTATGTAATCTGGGTGTTTTACATCTACCGAAAGTCCTCCTATGATTAAATCAATCTCTGTGTAGTCGGATGTTGAGAAGGAGACCTCAATAAGAACATCCATGATAACATTGAATAAGAACGGAGAGAGTGAGCATCCTTGACAGACACTATTCAACGTACACAGCTCACCCAACGTCTATCTCACCATAGGCTCTAACATCCCCATAGGTGTTTGATTTGAGAGCCTTTAATAAAGTGATGCACTTACTCGACACGCCTTTCAGTGAGAGACATTGCCATAAGACTTCTAGGTCGACGAAGTCGAATGCCGCCTTTAGGTCGAGAAATACAGCTATTATCGGGCGTCGGTAAGAGTGTCTGTGTTCCAGAACCTGGGTGAGTGTGATTGTTTCGTCTATACACCCACGACCAGGTCTGAATTCTGTCTGGTCTTCTTGGGCTTGCTGTCTTCGAGCTTAACTCAGGTGTCTCATGTTATCGAACCTAGAATTTTAGATACTATGTTCGTCAGGCTGATTCTTTTATGGTTATCACTAGGGGACTTCTCACCTTTCTTTAAGACTGGAATAATCAGTGATTGAGACCAGTCAGAGTGGATAATATTTGACTCCCATACACTAGTTAACACTTCAGTTAACTTGACTAAAAACACTACCTCAGGAACTAGTCCGGCTGGTACTTGTGACCTTTCTCGTTTCAAGTTACCTACCGCTTTATCGAAACCTGCAAGTGTTGGGGACCTATCTCAATGTTTCATTTAGGATGCGACTGGATAGAGGGGCGGGCAATGGTTGTCAAGAGGCTAGTTGAACTGTTGTTCGAAATGTTCTGCCCATGTTCTGCGTTGCATAGACGACATATTCACTATATGTAATAGCAAAATGCAAGTAGACACCACTACTAAAGAGCTTCAATTTTATGATAACCAAACTTGAACTTAACGATTGAGCACGAGGAAAATAACATAATTGGTCTCTTAGATGTCTCATTAGTAAAAAAGAATTGATGGGTCTGTCGAAAAGACCACATAAAGTAAACCTTTTTGGACAAGACACTACCTTCATTTTAAGAGCTACATCCCGATGCAATACAAAATGAATGAAGTTAGAAAGCTGTTCAACAGAGCCAGCAAAATTACAACAACACACGAGTACAAAAGGATGATTTTGAAGAACATGCTAGTGTAGAATGGGTATCCTGAAAGCTTTATCAACAAGCACGCAAAATGGGTAGTAAACGGAACAATGTCCCCAACAGCATGGAAGAAACTAGTCTGTATCATCTTGCCATTAAAAGGTGACGACGTGCTAGAAGTAGTTAGACGAAGACTAGAAAAGCCTGTCAGAAGGACTTATTTATTACGCTGCTAAACTCTTCCTCCTCAGTACCACCACAAGGGTACTACAACAATCAGAAAAAGACAGAGGTCCGATCATCAACACATCTAAATGCACATATCAATTGAAATGTACCTGCGAAAGCAAATACATTGGTCATACCGAGAGGTGTCTGTCTACCCGAATGATTGAGCACCCACTCAAATGGCCCAAGCATGCCGAGATGAAGACCCTAAGGAAGCTATATGACGAAACACCTAATGGATTATGAGCATGATATTGATACCTCTACTTTCTTTGCGGTTATCGGTAGATAGCAAAATAAGAAAGCGCTTCGAGTTGCATAAGTCTGCGCGATTCTAGTTGTCAAACCAAACCTCTACACTCAGAAAAAAATGGTAGTCTGCTTGAATCTGCCATGGTAGGAGTTACAGCGTCATCTAGTTACATTCAATCTTTCTTACTTGCTCTATGTTGTTAATTATCATCCATCTTATATTTTTGTTTTGCTTCTTTGATTTGTTTCGCTTAATTAACCTTATTCTTATTACCACTGTCACCATTATTAATCATATCAATATACGCTTTGTTTTCTTATTATATCTGCATAAGTACTATTACGCATCTTGTTTGAATGATATGATCTACTCTCAGTTGATTCACTTCTCACCCTTGTGTCAACACTATTATTATTATTATTTTCCTACCCGAAATCCACATGACCCTTAGACCGCACTGTTATCCGAACTCATAGTTAGTCTTGTAACCTATCCCCCACCCATTCAATTTCGAACATCCGTACCGTCGTTGGTTGGACATAATTGGTCGGTCTCTACTGGCATATAGGCTTCTGCGCGGATGCCTCGATATTGCCTTCATTTTAATTAATAATATATCATCATTAAGACATATAATTAAAACAAAGGCAATATCGAGGCATCCGCGCAGGAGCCCATATGCCAATAGAGGTGGATCAATTCGGTCCAATCAAAGACGGTAAGCGATAACACTAAAACTATGCTAGTCGCATAAGAAACGGTTATCGTGGATCAGTGGTCTGGTGGATGACGCTCTTGAGTTTGAACCGGTCGGCCCCGAGCTCGATTCCCGGTGGGAACATCACTCATGGGAATGCATGCACACACAACTAACGAGTCCTGAATTCCACTGCTAGCCACTGTCTATCATTAATATACATCTCCACCTTCTGCATTACCATGACCTGTAAAAACTGTTCACCGCTATATTGTTACACCTGAATCTATTTTTCAGCCTACATTATATGTGTATGTATGTTCTTATGCATTATCTAATTATATATATATATATATATATATATATATATATATATATATATATATATATATAATCAAGTATGTAGAGTATCCGGCTGGCTGAAGAGTACCACAGGAATTTATGAATTCATTAAATCTTGATTTTTCCCATTCGTTGCTTGTTTCAAATGTGGATGTCCCGCTTGAGCTCCTTGTGATGACCGAAATCTTTGGTGACATGGTTCAGGATTGGTATCAGTGGCGCAGACACAGCCACAAATTATCCTGATCGTCATACTAAATTCATTACCTCCTTATTCCTCCTACCTCTCTTTCACCGTTTTCTACAGCCTTTGACCAACTCCTCTGTATTTCCTTATCTTCCGTCTCATTGCTTGATGTGCTGATATAAGGTGTGATAACTTGAACTGTTTTGCAGTAGTACCTGGGTCCTATGGGAATGGTGATGAAGTCATTTAGAGCACCTTTCACTATAATACTTGGAGTTATGGGTTCAAGTCCCTTAAAAGATTGGGAGTTGCATGGTTCTTAAAACTACACCAGTGTAAATGAAAGTCGTGAAATGCAATTTATAGATTATTGTTTGTTCTAATTCAGCTTCCTTCAAATAATTGCTTATTCTCTACTTCCTGTAAACTTTTATTTCTGATCCTTCCTCTCAACTTCTAGGTTTAACAACAGAAGGAATATTCCGTCGTTCCGTCAGTTTGAAACGTATACGAGAAGTTCAAAATTTGTATAATAATGGTGAGCCAATAAGTAGATCGACTAAGCTGTGCAATTTATTGTTATTGACGTTGTTAATTTTGTAAACACATACATTTTGTTACTATTCTATAATACAGGCTAATTTTTTTCTGAATTATGATCAGGTAGATGGTCAATATACTAGAGCGTCGAGTTTCTGTACTCGAGGATAAATCGATATACTGCGGTTGTCAACAGCAGATATTTCTTCACTTAGAACATCAAAAAATCATTCTTTATTCTCATAGGAGCAACTAATCATCATCAATATCAACATAGGACCAGACATTACTGCATAACGGTCCGAGTTGCCACAGCTCATATCAGTACAACAAGTAAAAAGGCAGTGAGGTGCAAGATGAAGATAAGAAAATTCAGCCCAGAGAAATATAAAGTATGGGAAGAAAGAGAGGAAGAATGACAAAATAGTGCTATTCGGCATAATGTTACGATGAGGATAATGTGTGTATACACCTGCGCCACTGACGTCGGTTCTCAGCCATATCACCTAGAGTCTTCAACCACTGGTTTCCCCTATCCAGCGGACCCCAACCACCCAGTCTGCATCGCCCCACATGGCTCAAACCAACAGTCAAACACTACATATATCGGTGCCATGTTTTAGTCTGGCCACCTCGGGTCTTTTTCCAGCCTGGACCTACTTCGGCCAACACTATCATTGTGTGACGAGGCAATCGGTGACTAGGCAGGCATTCGTAACACGTGTCCCAACCATCTCAGTCGATGTAGGTTCATAACCTCGTCAACCGATTTACCTCTACTCACTAAAATTTTACACCTGACGTCTGGGTTACTAACGTGGTGACACCACGGAATATGGGTTGTACTACGAAGGCAACGGTGGTGAAACACCTGAAGCCAGCCTTCTCATGTCTTCCACCATCAATGGCCACGTTTCACAGCCGTACATACAGTAGAACAGAGTGGACTGATGTGCAGTACACGTAACCCTTAATAGACAATCGGATATCACGGCGACGCCATAGGTGGCGTAAGTTGGAGGTGAATATGGTAGAAGAAAACTCCTTCTGAAGTGGGAAGGACCAAACATCGTTACCGAGAGACGCGGTTCAGTTTATACCATCAAAAAAGGGGACAAAGAGAAAAGAGTAAACGCCAGTCTACGACGGTGTGAAAACACATTACATTAACAATAAGAGAAGACAGCACTAAGACGATCAACACGGCTTCAAGCCCGAAATTTTTTTGATGGGGGCACGAGTGCAGTGGGCGTTGTGCATAGGAATGGATATAAGTAGTATATACTGAGGGCGGCAGAAATCATAGGGAATTACCAGGAATGGGTAGAGATTCTGCCTACAGAAACGCAAGAGACAACGCGAGTGTATTAAGAGCAAAGCAAGATAGAAGCAGAAGAGGAAATGAAGCATATTTTGCAAATGACTGTCTTAGAGCAAGGTGTACCATATTTGATAACTACTGCACAAGATGTCAGTAATAGACATTCCTTCCTTAGTCTCCGTTTTCTCGTTTCTTTCAATATTACCTGGCTGCCCAAACCTCAGTAGGTGTAGTGAGGTTCGAAGCTGTGACTCATTTGTTTGAAGGTCATTTCTCTAAACCAATGAGTCGCAACTCCACAAGTGAATGCGAAGGGAGAGTAAGTTTTGCTTGATTGGGTCTTGTGTACTACTCTGGAAGCGTGCGGGCTGGCGGCTGACACTTCCCGGCTCTCCACACCGTTGAAGTTGTTTCTGCAGAGTACCGGAAAGAGAAAACGATTTGTGTGGCTGCAGAGCCCGTGGGACATTCGTTTGAAGCTTGCCAAATACAGACATATGAGCATTATTGGTTTGAGATATGGTTATAATGGCATATGAGAAAAACCCATAAGGCTGGAACCGGAAGATCGTGGGCAAAGAGTGTGCTATTTCGATGACAGCCTTCTCTTACTCTTCCCTCCTCATAAGGAAGACAACATCAAAATGTTAATTGTTTCTTCCAGTCAGTTCATTCCCCACCATTCAAATGAAAGTGACAGGATTCGGAACCTTAGGAATCATTCCGGAAAATGAAGATTCTCCTTCATGCGGTAAACAAAAAAAATTAATACCAATACCATTTCTTAATCATTCCGTTTCAGTAATATTTTTTTTCTGTCCACAGCTAAATTGTTTGCAGATTTACAATTAATCATTTTATTCAGCATGCAAGTAAACTATTTCCTCACATAAATACCGTAGTCCGGTTTTTAGAATAAGTGAGCAAAAACGAATGAATGACAACGACACCCGTGAAAGACACTCCTAATAAACAACAATAAAATTGAAAAATATTTCAGTTAATAAGCTCACAAGTGGTAATCAACCTAGATGAAAATGAATCAAACTTAGGTTGCAAATCGTCCCACCAACACAATGAAATCAATACATGCATAATTTCACATTTGACTAATGTTCTTGCTAAGTATCAGTCAAAAGGTGACGTTATGCAGCTTAGAAAGAATAGCTCCTGTTGTTCATTTGTCGAGTATAGAAGAGTGCGTCTACTTAGAAGAAGAAATAAAGCATGTAATGAGTATCTAACTATTATTATTTGTCCCTTGGGTTCCTAGTGGAACATAAGGCTTCAGTAACACGTCTCCATTCCACTCTACTCTCTCCAGTCTTTTCAATCTGGCTCCACCATTGCCCAGAAGCTTTCATTTCTTCACCACACCATCTCCTCCATGTCAACCTCGCCTCGGATGCCCAACTCAGCGTTTCGCCTTCCACTCGAGGGCCTGGCCTGGCATGTGATGCTCCCAAATGGTCTTCTCAGTGTATGCTCAATCCATCCCCACTTTCTTTTGCATATTTGTTGGGCGATAGGTTCTTGGTTGATTCGTCACCAGCCAGAGTTCCTTGTTGCTTATTCTTTCTGGCCATATGAGCTTCAGTAACGAGCGTAGCCAGTTGTTGGTGAATGTCTGTTGGAAATGCCTTTCGTAACGTATCAAGTCTCTGAACCATATAGAAGCACTGACTTACTTGACTGAGATTAGTGTTGAAAATCCGGATCTTGTTCTTTATGCTGAGTGGGGTGCAGTAGATATCCACACTGGTTTCAGGTTAACGAAGGCTTGTCTTGATTTTCCGATCCTGGCTTTGACGTCCTCAGCTGTGCCTGTGCTGCTGCCTGTAGTTGAAACGATGCTACATTCACTTGAAGTCCCGTCTTCGCTGCCCTGTCCTGATGATGCTTAGCATCGCAAGTGAAGTTGAATACGAAATATAAAATTTAAGTCACCAAAGTACCAGTATTGATGGCTCCAAGCACTATTACCTAACGCATATTGAAATTAAATGAAAGTGAACACCAAGGTCTTCATACAAAGACGATATATATCAACTAAAATTAGTCGGTTTGGTCCTGAAAACCAACTACAGAAAATATGAAGCGTTATTGAAACGTTTGTGTTACTTCATAGCAGGTAAGCACTCAAAGTAATTCCTTTATGAATTACAACGCAGACTAAATGGTCAGCGTATGGCAACTATTCCAGTTCTGCATCATGGAATGCAATATGATTCGAAATAACTATGTTTTGCTCGATGACAAACGTCTGGAGTTGTTTGGAACAAAGTTCCGTATGCCGTGGATATCACATGATTGCTATCACTCATCGGCAAGATGTACCTGATATTGTCATAAAACTCAGTTTCCCACAGAGATGTCAACCTATGTTAATTAATGTCGAAATGAAAGACTTCATAGATAGACTACTCAATCGCAATCTGTTTCTGCATAAAACTAGGTTATGCGGACCAGCTGGTCATCTGTTGGTTATTATTCGTGAACCGCAGAGGATTTTTGGACAAGTGACTGGAAACATCAGACTGCAATACTCACTACCCAATACCATATGATATTCCTATCCACACAACACACTCATTTGCCTTGTTTTAAACAACTTAAACACTACCTAATTCATTTTTATTGACAGTATACGCCATTTCTATGGTAGTCATTATTACAGTAAATGTTAGACATTTCTAAAACCCAGAAACTACCCACATTTGATTTTTAATTGTAAACTGATATCCCATATAATCAGTATATGATTGGTTATGAGGCAGACAAATTTGTCAGTTACATTATGCCTAAAAAAAAGAAACAATCAGGCATATAAAAACACCGGACTTTATATGATGCAGACATCAGTCAATCTTATCCCTATCTTGGCTCTAAAACAAGTAGTGAATGTTCATGTGATCATGGCCCCAAAATGCTCTGCTACGCGTTCACAGTCTTTACCAGAGAAGTCCTACTCACTCCCTTCCCGTGGTGAAGGTGTTTTCACAGATATGAAAGGGCGCAAGCGTATGTCCGGCACTTATCACCGTATTGGTGGATACTGAGGGTCCACTTATAGGAGTTGGAAAACTCTAATTCCAAACCAACGGTGCCTATGGGCTCCAGGTTCTAGATGGAGCGAATGGCCCACGGACCTATTTTGGTAACCGGCAACCATGGGAATGCAGTTCCTGATGTTGCTCCACTGCCTTGTGGATTAGACTTTAAGTCAAAGGCTCAGGGACTGACCTCCTAAGACAAACACCTGCTTTGATCTGGGCCTCCGGGAAGTATCCCAGCCCTCACATAAGATACAAATTTACAACATAATTCTGAGGTACGACAGCATACGTTCGGGCATGATGGAAATCGTCATTCAATAAATGAAGTCATCTTGGAACACCGACTTCGGTGACTTGGACATGTGTTACGCATGTCGTCCCAACGCTTTTCACACCGTTCATTGTTTGCTAATCCTGGGACTGGATGGAATAAGTGGAGGGTAGTCGGTGTATGACGTAGCGCCGTGGGATGAAGGATAGTTGTGTCGGGTTAGCATTTGTTGGTGCACCACGACTCTCTAGGTGGGGTCCGAAAGATTACACAACTCAGTGGTTTTTGACGAAACCAGTGGTAGTCATGCTGTAGTTTCCTCCTATCTTCTGCTGCTGGAAAGTAATGAATATTTCGTTTCGAATGTACCTTACTGAATTGCCCTTCTAATCATAGTATTCTTGTTTTTCTTTCTTACTTATCCACTTCCCAATGATTATGTCTTCACATTATTATACGATTTTGTATAGTGCATTTCTTGATACCCTTGCTGTACCTTGTTTGCGTTCTTATCAGTAAATAAATAAAGGGATTCTTAATAAAATACGTAAGATAACAGCCACAATACTGAAAACAAACGAATATAAGGAGAAAGAATTGCAAAACAACCAGTTCAAATTACCTGATAAATGGTTTGAAAAGTGTCCACAAGATTTTTACACCAGTAGTAGGATGTACTATATAGAGGGCTTTCAAATTTTTGCGAAAACTAAAGAGTAAATTTATAGAAAGTAAGGATCAAAACACGAAATATTATTGAATTAACATGTTTACTTAAATATAAGTGATGTAAATGCATATCAAACACTATTCAGGACGAGAAAATCCTTCTTAGACCGGATGATCAGTTGAGCATCTGATATTTGGAACACTCAAAACAAACTGATAACGTAAAAGAAATTAACCGACTGACATCAACAAGAGAATCATTGAATACCAGGGAGCACAGATACGATGTATGATGCCTTCAGTTGAATAAGATGTCTGGCATGAAAAGACCAATTTAACCATTTGAGTGAATGAAGCAAAACCAGTTGCACTTCATAACTTAGATAGTAGAGGTGGAGTATATAAAAAAGTCAAGTGCCTGCCTAACTGAATGGAGCACTGTTAAATTGTAAGCAAGTTAACAATAACAAAACATCCATATAACAGCAGTTTACGAAATTCCTCAGACTCCCATCGTAGTGTAGTATTTTACACCACAACCGTGACTGCTTTTCGTCTAACCACTATCCAACAGACTTTTCTGGTATGGTAGGACCTCGAGGGAACAATTGTTACACCAGTATAGCTCGTTAGGTCATTGTGATATGCAAGCGCAACCACCACGTCAAGTTAGCAGCTATCGGTCGGGCTAGGAGCAATAAAAAACATATTGAAATTATTCCTTTGATTCTGCTTAAAAAGGCTAACCAGTTAACAATTCTCTATTGTGAAACAGTTTCTTTGATCCACTTATAAACCCATGCCCAAAAACTACTGTTTCTGCTACCCCGCCCTCTCCCGATGTCTCAAGCTGGGTGTAATAAGATTTGGTTTGAATCATACTAATAATGTTCAAAATAATAATCACCACCAGTTTCTAAAGCCGCTAGCTTTCAATCACAACGACACAGCCTAACTAATTTGAATTTTGATATGTTGTGTGATGCGGATGTGGAAAGTTTTGATGCTCCGCCTCGAAAATGATCACAGTGATGTAAGCGTACTCACTGTTTATCTTCTTCAAGAATTTCGAACGCATTTTTCAACTTCATCTATTAAGTCTCTCCTTCTTTCGTATCCTGTCATGTGGCTAATTAATATGATACACCTATGGTGCAATCAATTTATCTCTCAGTAGTTACACTGATCTAATCATTGTGTCCAGTGAATTATAGAAACAGAATTATTTCACGACCTAATGCGAAAGGCAGGATGTTTCACTCGTATTAATTGTTATATTTACCAGCTTGTGGTGATAAGTTTTGAAATGGTTACTATTTTTCACTCTTTCATTGGTGTTTGTTCACCACTCAGTATTGTGCTGACTTTTGACTAAGAATCTGCATGCAGATAAATCTGCTACCTATAAATACTATGCAACCCTGAGTAATGCATATGTTTTGTTTATCTTTTTTGTTGGGGCGGGAAGATATTAGTGATGAATTCATTTATCTGTGTCTTTTAAAACAGGTGAAACTGTTGACCTTCGTGACTATGATGACCCTCATTTGGCAGCTGTTTTACTCAAATCGTTTTTACGTGAACTCACCGAACCGCTGTTAACATTTGAACTTTACGATGAGATATTAGGCACAGGTGGTAAGTAAATGGTTAAATTAATTTCTTGATCCTACGATATATTTTAACTTGTTGTATTGTTGTTCATCTGAATGGTTCTGGGGCAGATAATTGATATCGTATCAGAAAACGGTGCACTGAAAGCTTGTAAAAATAAACTATTGTTAGGTACTATTTTCGAGTTTATGGGAAGTGCACAATCATGGAGACGATCTGAGAATTCCCAGTGCTTCTAGTAACCAACCACATAGCTTTTAGCCACTGTAATTGTACCATGACTCTTATCCTATATTCACTTTTTTACCACGCTTCGTAATAATAATAAAAATTAAATGGTATAATTACTGACATTAATTTATATGATCCTCGTTCTGTTTTGTTTATGTTGTAGATATGTATCTTATCTTTCTTTCCTTTCTTTTCTACTCACCGATCAACTTATTGAAGGTTTAGGCGCTAGAGAAAAAGTTGCTTTGGCTAAGGAGCTAATTCTTATGAAGTTACCTGATGATAATTATGAAATTTTAAACTTTCTTATCCGATTTTTAACTGAGGTAAGTGTTGTTTTCAGTAGTCTCTGTATATTAGTCGGTTACCTAGCAATGTACGTGTACCTGTGTTTTGCATTAAGTTATATTGATACATAAATAATAACGTTAACTAAAACACATCCATTATAGATGATAATGATGATAATTTATATTAATATATATATCAATTGTTTATAAGAATCTACTTATCGGTTTATAGTTCCAAGTTGATTTAATTTTTTCAGTTAATTCGTGTTATTCAATTGAAATATAATCATAAGTTATTCATTTCACCTCGTAAATTGGATTTTCTTTCTCCCCAACCCTACCATAGCATCAATTCTGATTTTGTCGTTGAGTGTAATTATTTTGTCATTTCCAACTTTGTTTTTAAAGATGAATTAATGAATATCTTTATATCCTAGCATCGAAATTGTGACTGGTAATTCGGTTTGTCATCTAAATGGTAAGGCATGCGGTCTGGAGCACGACAAGCATGCTTTGATTTCGATAACAATGTTTATTTTGAAGGTCTTTATCTTTGTACTCAATAAACTTATGATGTTCAGTTATTTCTCTTTCAGTTTCATGCATGTTATTAATTTCATAGAACACTCAGTTTGACTGACATCAACTTGGCTACTAAACTAGAATTTACAATGCGTTCGTTTTAAAAGAATTTTTGAGGACAATATTCCTCAGTTCTAATAAACAACATAGGTTTTTAATCTACCCACTGTTCTGATTCAAAAGTTTAAAGAATAACAGACTACTTGTTAGGTTTTGCTTTCAGCCTTATGAAAAGTCATGGAAACGCATTGCTATGTAATCTAAGACTAGAATTGAACAACTTACAAAGATTTCTTGGTTTACAGTATGTATGCAGGTGATATGGAATTATAATGAAACCTTAGTTCCTGATACAATTTTGATGACTGTTTTCCTTTTTTCTATTAATTAATTAATTTACAGATCAGTATGTACTCACAACAAAATAAAATGAACGCAGCCAACTTAGCTGTTGTATTTGGTCCAAGTTTAATTTGGTCACGAAATCAAGCTTCACTTACAGCAATGGGTGTGATTAACGCATTCACACAAATTCTAATTACTCATTATGAGTATATTTTTATCAAATAAAAAAGATTAAACTGGAAAAGTATTTTGCTCTAAACCAGCAAACATCTTTGTATTCTTTGTGATATATTACTTTATTTCCTTTCTGAGCCATAAATGAATTAACGTCTTTCACTGATGGATATTGTTATGACTAACTGACTACTACGGTTTTTACTGCTAGTATCAATGCACTTCTCAACACCGTTTTTTTTTTTTAAAAAAGCACATTCTGCTTTATATATCGGCGTACTTTCAAGTGTGAACATTGAATTCTGTTATTCAACTTTTGATTATTGATTGGTCAGCTGACTTACTTCATGGTCACCGTTTTCTTTTTTTGGTATTGCTAATATCTATTATACTTCACCTATAAGTACTCATACATACACTGAATTGCATGAAAAACACTTGTGCACCACACATTCCTCTGATGATTCATTCGATGAAAATAAGTTCATCACTAATATGTGTGTTATTCAGAAAATTCTTCTGGTCTTTATTTTTAATATGCTGTTTTCTGCTCTCCTAAAGTCTTCTTTCTTATATTCTAGACTACTACTGACTAACTAATCATTATTGTTAGTAGTGGCAGCAACAGTGATGTGTGTAGACGGTCACTAGTGTAATCCTTGTAAATTTACAGAAAAGATTGAAACAACTAAGAATTTAAAGTGGCTATGATTGTCTACTTTTTTGTCCTACTTTACTCATTCCCGTTTACTAAGCTATGAACCAGAGGGTTCTATTTTACTTGCACTCCGGAAATACTTCTTTCTTTTAGCAGTGTTAAGGCATTTGATTCATTTTATGCATTGGTAGTTTCCTTTCCGTTCATTATTACGCTGGCTCTCACATCCGATGAAAATGCACTTTCAATAAAGAAAGCACACATAAAAAACATGGAAACGTTTCCTGCTTTAAAGCTCCATACAATCTACTTAGTCGTAGTCTCATTACCGTTAGTTAAAGCGTGCTTAACTAGATAATTAGCTCGTAACAAACGAACTGCGATCCGATCCTCATGCCTGAAAACCATCAACCCATACATATTTAACCGCACAGAGATGAACGACACAACATCAAATCAATCAATACCGGGAAAATAAATCCCGTTTCAACGTTGATGCAGACATTAAAATTGACTAGTAGACAGAAAGAAAGTAGTACAACGTAATGGTGGTGCAAGAGTATGATTACAGTTCAAATTGGTAGGAAATTTGGTAAAAGGGGGAGAACAACAAGGATGGTGTGCAGTGTGTGAATCAGTAGTAGAACAATGTGGAATGTGGTAAAAGCACGATTAAAGTATAATGAAGTTTAAAGTAAATGAAAATGACGGGAATATGAGTAATGTTTGCGAACAACATGTAAGATGATGAGATGAAAGAATAACATGATAAATGAAGTCGTAGGGTAATGCAAGGTGAGTCATGAACTGCCTTTTTACGCTTAAAATTCGTTTTACCCAACAGAGTGCTGCTGCTTCTGCATAACGTAGTAATTCACTATTACCTTGTCTGTTTATAATCTGGAAAGCTGTGTTCGAGTCGACAGCATGACCTGTATATAGGACGTGTTTCCCAATGACAATGCTAGGCAGCCTTGTACCTCAGGATGATAAGATTCAGAGATTCCTTTAGCAAGGACTCTCCGTTCTTCCGACATGGATGCTACTGCAAGTGCAGATAAATAAATAGATACAATTGAATGTAAAATGAGGACGTCTCATATGTAACCTAGTTTGTCTGAGTATGCTCTTCATTTTATAGACAAGTGTTAATTTCGCAGCTGAGAAAGTTAGTGTGACCGATACCTGCTACCTTGACGTGGTGATCTGGCACAAGTTACCCCATTTGGCAGTAGTACACAAAATAAAATAAAATGAGTGATATCAAAGTAGTATGAGAGAATAAACAATTTAAAGACAGCCGCTAGTGAAAATATCCAAGCTTTAGGTGTCAACGAGTGAATACATCTGTTCCATTAAGACTGATCTTCATCAGCAGTCCTCACCCAGTGAGTCTTTGCCTCTCGGGGACACCAACCAGGCAGTCTGTCTCCATACAACTCAGACCACCAGTAACTGACTTCATCGACTAGTGCCAGGTCTTGGTCTAGCCACTCTGAATATTTTTCCAACTTTCCCTTCGAGGTAGGCGTTGGCTTGGGATGCGCAGCACATGCCCAAGCCATCTCAACCTTATCAAACGACTTCCCTAGTACCCTCCGCTTGACCTCAACATTTCTCACACTTTGATTCCGCCAAACGCTACCAATACCAAGAATACATCTTTGATCAAACCCAGTAATCACCCTATGTCTTTCAATTTTAACAGCCCTGTCTCATGGGCATATAAGTGGAGAGAATGGACTGCAGCTCCGTATACTCATCCTTTGATGGATAGCTGGATATCACGCCGACACTACAGTTGACACAAGTTGTCAAATGCGAAATGAGTCTTTTGTATCCAGCCTGAGATTTTGTCAGCAACTAGCCTGCTCGGGCTGATGTAACTTCCCAAGTAAGCGGAGTGGTCGAAACATTCCACCACTTCACTCCCTATCATTAGACTGGGAGTATTTGCAGAAGACCACTCCTGGAGCATCATCTTACATCTGACAGGTGCGAAATGCATGCCAAATATACTCAGATTTCTGCTTAACGCGTTCACAAGAGCCTGCATTTTGTCAGCGTCTTTGTCTAGCAGGATAATATCGTCTGAACACTTTAAATCAACCAGATGAACTCCCTGTGAAGTCAGACGTGCCAAAGGTTATGTCCATTAATATGTCGATGGCGAAGTTAAGTAGGAACGGTGACGGTGGTCATGGCTGCCGGACACCACTAGTTGTCGACAATTCACATGACAACTCTGCGTAAGCCTTTACACGGCTGTGGGAGTTCAAGTAGAGAGCTTTGATTAGAGTTGTATAGTTGTTTGGTACTCCCTTCACAGCCAGACATTTCCAAAACACGTCATGTTCGAGAGAGTCAAATGCCGCCTTCAGGTCAGAAATATGGCAGGTGCCGGTCAATGACCGGTAGGTATGCCTGTGTTCTAGAACCTGTCAGAGAGTGAAAATGTGACTGATGCACCGTCGTCCAAGTCTGAAACCCACCTCGTTTTCTTGAGTTTGCCGTTATCGAGCTCCAGTTAAGCGTCGGATAAGTATGAAGCATAGGATCTTGGATTGAATACTAGTCAAACTGATTCTCCTGTTTTTGTCACAGGAAAACTTCTCTCCTTTCTTACAGACTGGGATGATCAGAGAGGAACAGCACTACCTCTGATTCGCATACACTACCTAGTAACTCCATCACTTTAATTAACAATTTCCTACCTCCATCCTTGAAAACTTCAGGTGGCAGGCTGTCAGGTCCCATTACTTTACATCATTTCAGGTTCGACACAGCTTTCTAAACTTCAAGAAGAGTTGAAGGACCGACATCTACGTCCCATTCATGTTCAGGCTGGTAGTTGGGCCACTGAAGTGTTGCTGAGGACCAGTTGAACTATGATTCAAGGTGTTCTAGCCTTCTTTCCTAGGAGGTTACCAGCATCCCATCCGTTTCGGTGGTGGTCTCACTAAATGTCGTTTTCTTCTTGCAGATCTTCGTAATAAGCCTAAATAGTTGCCGAGTGTTACCCAACGCTTATGGCTTCTCCATCTCTCTCGCTTTCGTCACGCACCACTGCTCGGAATCACTGAAAACTCTTGTCAACTTACGCTTAAGTTGCTTTCGCTCTTCATCGTGGTCAAAGACAGCTGGAATCAGTCTTCTCGCAATTACCAATAAAGTGTAAAGTTTACGCTGTGATGGGGATCCAAGGGAGAATTTGTACTGCTGACTTGATGGGGGTGTGACAACATCAAGGTGTTTTCCGGGAATGAACAGCGGTGCCGCACTGATGCTGTCTTCCCTATTGAAATGCGGGATTTAAAAATGTTGACCTCAGGAATAACACACTCCCTGTCCAGCGCTCTTACGGTGCCATCAGTATGGGGTTTTCCTATCTGGCATTATAACCGAATGTCAAACCAACATTCGTCAAAAGGCTGTGTTACAAGTCTCAAACAAATGTCCCCTGGGCTCTACGGTCAAATAAGTTACTCCTTTTTATTCTTTCATGGTGTGGCTAGCCTAGGAGCGTCAACCATCGTCATGCTTGCAATAGTATACAAGGTCCAACAAAACATAACCCATCCTCCTTATCTTTGTCTCCTCTTTTGCTTTCATTGCCTGATACCAATATTAAGCCTCACCCTCTCTCTCTCTCTCTCTCTCTCTCTCTCTCTCTCTCTCTCTCCAACTGCTGCTAGCTGTTCCAACCAGCGAAACAATGTTCCTATTCTCTTAAGACCCCACAGTCGATTTCATATTGAAGCTTTCAACTTCCGAACCCCATACTAAATCGGACAGCAGGCATCGCTCGCCAGAACTCTGGAATCGTGAGCTATGAATGCATGCTGTGTTTTCGAGACATGCACACAGTACTTGAGTGTGGTTATTACCTTGAACTTACCTGGGCAATGCAGTGAATCTTCAAAATCCACTTCATAGGTTTCTTAGAACTGCGTGAATCGCTGATCTACATATCTATTTGTGATTTACATATCTCAAATATAACGTTGTTTGTTTAGTGGTGTTGCCTAGTTTAGTATTGTCTGTAGGACGAACCATTAGACAGGAAATGCATACCTTTTGTGAAAAGATTAATCAAAGCCCAGTCTCCTAGGTAGAAAGTCTATCATGTAACCATGACTGCGTAAATACCAATCGTTTCTTCCAGCGGCAAGTTCGTGAATAGGGATTCAACACTAAAAGAATTCATATGATCTTTGCTTACATCAATGTCATTAGTAGTAGTCACAAATTCAAAACCATGCATCAAATGATGAAAAGTTAGTTCTTTCCTGATAGGCTCAACTACTTGTGCAATCCATCGAGCGAGTTTACAATATAGGAATTTTGACTTAATATATGACGTAGAGATATTGAGTTTTTGCATCTTAAATTC